TATATGCAAAAGTATTTTGAATACATGAACAAAAACATTTCTATGCAATGAAGTCTTAAGGATAGGTGACATAGGCAAGAGTTTGTCCTCATGGAAACTATACCAATGTAGCTATAGATCTATCCTCATAATTTTAGTTCTGCATTTCCCTCTGCAAATAAACCTCAGATATTTTGGGGGAACCAGTCTTCTGTTAGGATCAAGCCCAGAAGCTTTGATCTTATCCTGTTTCTGTCATGTTTAACTAAATAATATTAACCAAATAACTCAATATATTTAACCAAGTGCTAGGTCCTACCTTTCAACTGTTCATCTAGATTCAAATTTCATGTATTGGGCCAAAGAAGCAAACCAAAAAAAGCTCATTTGGTGTCACTTCTTGTCTGTGACTCTGAAATATTTGATCAGCAGTCACCCTTGAGTGGTTTTTGAATTTATGTAAAACTTTTATCCTCCAAACAGGTGAGCCGATGTTCCCCAAAGAGGAGATTTGTATTATGGGAGTTTTGTCCACTTGGTACAACATTTCCTATTTGCTTCAAACAGATTTAAAAAAAAAAAATAGACCTTTGTATGCATTTGCTTTCACAGCTCAGCTAACACTCATCTCTACAGGATGTAAGTTGTGCTTTCCAATTGTCATACATGTAAGGAACCTTTTTCCTAGCTGTGCTCCAGGTCAATTAGGGTAAGAGAAGAAACAGTTAAGAATTAATTTCCACAGTCCACAAGTAATGATTTTTCTGATAACCAAGTTATTAAAGTGTTGTTTAGCAGCAATATTTTCATTCCGATGAAATATCTTACAAACACAAACATATTTGATGAGGATTTGGATTCCATGTGAGGAAGTTGCTGGGGTATATTAAGCAACAGTCATGACAAACTTGCCAGCGCTAATTTTGCTGGTCCTGTATAATTGCCTTCAGGAACATTCTTTCATGGCTATTCCCTGCAGCATCTGTGTTTGCAGTGAGTATGTCTGTGCAGTGCTGTGGACCGGTGTCCATGCTGTACAGGTGCCAGGTGAAGCACTGGGGGTGCAGTCAGCTCCCACTTTGATCTGTTCAAAAATACCAGTGAGGCACTGCCACCTCCAGCGTAGTAATGAGTCACTGCAATAACATGTGCTTCTGGTGTTTCAGTATCAGCTTCCACCAAAGTCAAAGGGAGTTGTTTCATTGATTTCAGGGATCAAACGGAAAGAAAAAAAAAAAAAGGAGGGGGCAAGGGAACGAGATTGTCTGTGGGGTTTTTTCCATCTCACTGATGTGTGACATTTCCATCTTCAGTTTTGATTAAATTTCCCTTAATTAGCCCATTAAGCTAAAATCACCAAAGCTAATGATTGAAATGTTGGTTAACTGATGATCTTGTTTCAATGGAATTTGAAAGACATCATATTTCTAAATTAATAGTGGCATTAAACTGGAGAAGATAAAATGATGAACTATTTGTTGCAGAAATGCTAGTCTCAAGAGAAGGTTTGTACAGAAACTGCATTTCTGTTAGGAAAAAATAAGATTAATAGACAACCAAAGCAGCACTGATGGTCCTAACAGTGTTTAGCATTCATACGATTTTTGTATTTTGGAAGGATTTCTGTCTTTTTTTTCATCCCTGGTGAACTTCTGGAAATTTCTTGAGTATTTTGATCCCAGTGCTCCTGCAGGTGAAATCAGCAAGGCTCACTCTTAAATTGAATGAACTGTAAATAAAAGTAAAATGCAACCTATTGTATTCTGATATGGGTATGTTAGGTGGCATTCCCTTGAGCAACAGAAATACTGGTTTGTATCGTGCCTTCAACTTCTTAGGAGCTGAACATTTGGTAGTTCTCATAAGAACAACCCTTTATTGTCTGAAGAGGCATGACATGAGAAGTGCATCAAAGCATAACATCTTGGGGCACGAACCTTAGGTTCTACCAAGGAAAATGCCTGAAGCTATTTTTAGAAGTGCTTCATTGCCTGGAGGTACAAAGAGAGTGCACAGTAGTCTTTGCAGAAGTATCTGTCTCTTCTTTTATGTTCCTTGAGCTAAAGACTGCAGAAGTAGAGGGAAAAGCTGACAGATACGAACTGCTTATTTGTCTTGATAATTAATTTCCCAGCCTCAGTTTAACACCTTACAATCATAAATTCACATCAAAGTGTCCCTGTCTCCAAGTGGCATTTAGTGTGCACCCTCAGGAAAGAGGCTGAGGATCAAATGCATCACAGATTTGGTTTCAGCGGTCCCTTCGATGTAGCACCAAGGTTCGCTGTGGGCAGGGCAGGGTGCTGATTTTCAGACACAGCCAGCTGAAAGATGTGCAGCTGAATCAGTTTCCACCTTACCTTTTCCTGGATATTTCAGCAGCATAGAAGGGGAAAGAAGAAGCTTCTACTGAGCTACAGCCTGTACTTAACAGCCCAAGTTGCCGGTTCTCCATAACATAACAGACTGTGAGCAGTGGTGGTTCGGGACCTGTTTCAGTCATCTCTGCTGCTGGCACAGTAACTTGCAGGGAAAAAAGTAAATCAGAGCCCACTGTGTCTGTCCAACAGCTTTTGTTTAAGTCTCGTATGGCAAGTCTCAAACTGAACAGCTTATGTTTATGCTAGAGCTTGTAATTTCATTCGAAGTGTTGTGGGATGTCAGCTGTAGAGCAAATGAGGGAAAGAGGCAGGGGGAGGGCAGCCAATTCAGTTGGAAGCCAATTTAATATCCAAGGATTTTATGTTCCTTCCAGTTCTCCTCCTAGACATACCCACAAGGGGTTTTAGGTATCCCAGCTAAGAACTGTGAGACTGCTGACAGCAGCAGACTGCAGTTGCACTTTGTATGGATTGGAAAGGCAAAAAATACACTTTTGTGATCTTCAGATTTGTATGGATGGAGCTGCCGCCTTTTGAGCTGGTAAAGATGGATCATTTAGCAAGGAAAATTACATCTTGCTATTCCTCTGATGCTAGGGGTACTCTTCACCATATCCACTATTATTTGTGTCAATCACCTGCTCTTTCAAGGTAGCTGCTCGTGTCTTTAGAACTTAAAAAGCTGGTTTTAGAGAAGTCTCTCCATGTGTCCAGTGCATATCTCCAGAGTGAGAAATTTCATTATTGAAGCATCATTGTTTTTCCTTGCCAGAAATAAAGGAGGAACATTGCAACTATATCAGATCTTTTCTGTTGTGAATGGACTGTGTTCTGTTCTAAACCCCTTACACACGTTCAGAAGCTGACAGGAGTTTTTTCTGTTTCAAGTCTTCGCTGTAGTCGGGTCAGCTTTTCTGGCCATGTCCCCATCTGTAGCTTAGCAAGAACATCAATTGCAGGAGATGATGCCACTTCAATCTAGATATGCTCAAAGGAATGTGCATCCCTGGAGTCTGTTTTGGCTTTTGCCAAACCTCACTGTCATCTCTGGTGATGAAAGCTGCACTGTTTGAGAACAACATGGAAGTTGGTTATGTTTGTTGACTGAGTCAGGAGGCTCAGTCAAAATCCACATTCAAAACACAGGAACATGCTGTCCCAGAGTAAATATGCATATGACCAGGGAAACTACAGTTGAATTTTGAGGTTTTGAGGTTGGTTTACTGGTAAAGGAGTGGTAGTATTTAAAAACAATAGGAGTCAACAAGACTGATGTAAGCATACTGATAGCATACTGAGAGAAAATATTTTAGACCCAGTACTATGCATAAAGGACCAGAGTCTGTGAGAAGAAAAAAAGTTCTACTGGGTGTTTAGATTCTTGCTGCAAGGAAGAGACAGAATTTCTAAAACCTTTCTAAATAAATAGGGCTGCTCCTCAAAATACTGTGTTCTGTATAGTATTTGGTTTTCTTGTCTAAACCAAAACACCTGCAAGAATTCACCTTCTGACTGAATACTTATATCTAAGAGATGGAGCAGGAACCATCAGCAATAGATCTACATTAAAGAGACCCACGAATGACTTAACTTCTGCTGGCATAAAACATCAAGATACACCAGATAATTAGGTTTAAATAATATTTTGTATTCACTTGCAGCTTGTTCTACAGCTCATGTATTTACAGGCTTGATGCAACCTCTCAGCATTGTATCTGACTTCTGGGCCATGGCCAGCTGCTTTTAGAAATTGTTCTCCTTCCTAAGCAGAATATTATGATTTCATGTGGCAGATATGCATTGGGAAAATGTGAACTTACTAAGCCAAGAGAGAACCTAAATCTCTGAGTGCACAGAATTAATGCATGGTCAATATACTGTCAGATTTGAAGTATTTGGTTATGGGTTATTTTTTGCTCTTCCTGTTGACTTGTAATATCACTGAGGGTGAATTTACAATGATCTTGCTGCTGGTAATGTAGGAGTGGCAGAACTTCCTGGCAATAGCCAGCTGAGAGGGTGGAAGTGATTTAAGGCAAACCTGCTCGGCTTCTATAAGGAGATAATGAGTCCTGCTCTTCCTGTGGACTACCCAGTGTCAGTTCTTCTCTTTTGTGACTGCCAGGGCTGTTAGATATCCTTCACTCCCTACAGGGTGGATCAACACCAAATACTTTCTAAATTGGTTTCAGCCTTTGATTGCCAGTTCCTTTTAGAAACTCCAAATTACTTCAGAAGCCCTGCCTACTTATTTTTCTTAGCACTTTAGGGTGTAAATCATTTGTGAGAATAAAATCACTTAGGGGTCTGGTTGATTGGTTGTTTTTTTTTCATCTGTGCCAAAAGCCAGGGGACTTTGTGTATGAGTGTGGTCAGAAAACACACTTCTGCCTCCTTCAGATTGTATGTCTCTGGAGGGAAGAGGGGCTGTATTCTTTTATTCTGTCTACCTGTATTAATGTATTGCTCACCTCCTCGAATCATCTTTACTTGTTAGGAGTGAAGATACTTTCTCTGTCAGTTTAATATTTTTATATGTGAAAAGTTTTTCTCCCCCGTTCAAAAACTGCTTTAATTGTGAAGAGCTCTGAATTTCATCTCTTTAGCAAAATTTAATCCCATTTTTTCCAATACACGCAGGTTTTGGTTTCAGATCATCGCTTCATGGGAAGAAGGATCAGATGCCATTATTGCTTTTGACAATGTCTCCCTTAGTCTGGGCTGCTATTTAACAAGTAAGTTTTCATTTTATCTCCAAGTGACTTGTCCTTTATTTGCCGAGTAATTGAAATTTGGAAACTGTGGGGAAGGGGTTCAGTATCTTCAAAAGACTCTTGAAAGGTAAAAGCATGTTTCAGAAATAGCTGTGCTTAGGCAGAGCAGCCTGTTCACGTACATACCTTATTAGTGGAGCCAACCAGTGAATGGGTTCCAAGTTTGGCAGTAGGTGGGTAGCGAGACATATGGTGTGGGAGAGCCAGCTTCCAGCTGAGACAGTGGCATCACCTCTCCATCCAGGCTGATGCAGCAGCCAGTCTGTGATTATAGATTTCCAGATGACCTGGTTTGCAGTGTGACAGTTATCAAAATGAATGACAGTTGGACTGTGGCTAGGAAAAGACAGGCATCCAGTGATTGACACTAACTTTGCAATAACATTGGGCACGATACTCCAGTTAAATTAGAATGAGGTTATTTTATTTGGACTGACGCACGTTTAAGTCTGAGTCAGACTAGGATCTTCACACTCTACTGCTCTGAGGAAAAATTTGGATTCTGATCCAGGCTTTGGGATTGACTGGCCTCTAGAATGTGCCCAGTCTATACCTCTGATGCCAGATTTCACCACGTTTAGATTGTTATTAAATGTTTGTGTCTGGCTCATCTTTCATAATCTCATGCATAGTGAATTGCTTTAATTTGTAAATGTGTTTAATGATCTGTCATTCTGTACCTCAGACCAAAAACTTACATGAGGATTGGAGGATTTGCTGCTCTGAACAAATGAAACTTCTACCTTGGGTTGAGCAGTAGAACTTAAGTACATTCTTTCTTCTCCTAGACTTGAAGCTACAACTTCTGTAGCCCTGCTCAGACTGAAAATATCTAAGCCACTTCCTCATCCAACAGCAGTCAGAATGTTTCATCTGCTTTGTAGTGTGTTAATTTGCATTGGCTGGAGCATGAGTCTTTCCATTTATGCAGTAATACCTCTTGCTTTCTGTGCATAAGTGCAGTATACCTCAGGTTCAAGTATTCTAAAGAGATCTTAAAATCAGGTTAGAATTAAAAAAGATTGCACATACTCTCACTGGCTAAAGAGAAAATGTATAACAGTTGCTAAAGATTATATTCTGGTTTTCTGCTTTGTGTTTTCATTCACTTGCTGTTTTGCCTACCACTCATTCCTGTTTATTTTTCTTTCATCTCAGTTGTGTAACAGCAATGGAAAGTAAATCTGCCTATTCCTTTTGATAGCGTTACATCCTGTGACTGCAGGATCTTATTCTCAGCACAGAAGTCTGTAGCCTTTAATTTAACTTCAGTTTTGGATTACATACTGGCTTAGTCACCCTCAGTCATAAACCAATCTGTCACTTCTGGTTTTCTAGTCAGTGGAGAGAAGACACTTCGAGGTATCACTCCAGACTCAAGCAATTTGCTCACCAGTAGAGGTGGCCAGAAGAAATTTGGATGGGAACAAAAGCTTCTGGGAAATCTCCAACTCAGCAGTGCCCCCACTTCTGGTCCAGCAGGTAACTGTCTGCTCTGAGAAGCATCATTAGATAGGAGAGATTTCCAAGCAGTACAGACCTCAGTTAGATGTGGCTAAATGCAATATGATTTTTTTGTTCCACAGCCTCTGTTTAGAGCTTTTCTCAAGTCCCTCACAAAGAAAACAAAACAAGTTCTAGAAAGCAAATTACCTCTAGCTGCTAACTGTAACTTGGATTCTGACTGCAAGCTGGTGAAAGAACCAGATCGAGCCTCTCTTGAAGTAAAAAGTGCTTTTAAACTGTAAGACAGTTTGTTTGGTGTCATGATCATATAAAAATTGTCAGGAATCAAAGCAAACTGTCCAGATTGACTGAGCTCAGCATTTGGTAACATGAACACCTAACTCTAGTTAATATAGGCTTGCTTTAAAATAATATAGCCTTGCTTTTTCAGTAATATTTTCTTTGTCCATTTGAAGCAGTATAGCACTGGACTCTGTTTTAAAAATATGATTTTAATTTAGTTAGAAAAGTCTTGTATGTTAATGTCATTTCATTCTCCCCTACCCCTCAGCTCCTCTTTCCAGCTTAACTGTGGTGGTGTGGGCCAAACAGATGCAAGAGTTCCCTTCTCTTCCCTCACTCTCCCATCACTGTCTCCCAAATGGTTCTCTCTTACCTCTCCTAGGCTTGCCCACGTATTCATAATATCTGCTTTGGGCTCTACATGTGCATTTCCATTTGAATCTGCTTCCTTCCCTCAGCTTCTCTTCCTGATTTGATTTGGGTAGCCACGACCTCCTACCTGGGGAAGCAGGGCTGACCATGGAAGTGAGGGGTAGCTACTGGAGAGAGAAGCACTTGTAACTGCAACCCTCAGCACTGTGTGCAGCTCCTCTCTTAGGACTAGCTAGTTACCTGCCGATTTGGAATACCACCCCTCTTAAGTTAGAAAACAGATGTGTGGTTGATACATGGCTCCTTTGTCAGTAAGCCTAGGGATTTGGTCCTGCTGCCTCCTTTTCTCTTCACATCTTAGAGAGACTTCTTTACATCTGTTCTATCTGTTCTGTCTCACTTTCCTACCTGCAGTGTACTGTTGAATTGCACAGACTAGTTGTGTTAGCTCTGATACCAACAGTGGGCTGGTCAGTGTGTCCCAAAGCTCCACACAGCCTTCAAAGCCTGCCTGAAAAGCTGGATGCATTAGACCACTGCGTGCTGCTGCAGCAGGGCAGCTGCTGCTGCCTGAGCTCTCTTGTTCAGAAGCGAGCTCTGGCAGTGGAGGCTGATGGTACAGCCTGTGGGGCAGGCTGAGCTGCCACAGGTGGAGCTGATGGATGCTTTAGGTACTGAGCATCATACAGCAAGAAAAGTGCAGGAGCACTGACAGGAGTCTCGAGGGAATGAGTCAGAGGGGATGAGCCCACATGAGATAATGCTGGCTGGGTGGAACTGTGCTTTAGCTTTAATTGTTGTGTTTGGGTCTGTTACAGATGTCATGTGTGAGCTTGGGCTAGTCAAAAAAGTATAATTTTCAAAAATATCTTTATGTCCTGTTTGAAGATCCTTTGATGTCTTCCCTTCACTATCTGTATATCTGTTTCCTGCCTGTAGGTGAAGTCGTCTTTTAAGTGCTCTCAGTATTGCCCTTAGGATCTTGTGGTAGGATCTGCTCACAGGTATAGGTTATGGACTTCTGGCTGACTTTCCTTAGGAATGTCAGCACTTAGGTGGTAATGCAGTTTCCTAAGGCACATGCACATTTCCTTCCAGTGTATCTGCTGTTTTAGTAACAGCAAAAACATTAGATGTTGAATTCAAAGTTAATCTAAAGTGGGTGTGTGGGCTAGAAATCTTGTGGCCATAGATTTCTTTGAGAATTTTGTTACTCCCTACTTCTCACTAGACCTGACATCTTCTAGCTCTTCTGCCCCCTGTCCTATGTGAGGAATGCAATTTAAAGAAATGCCTGGATAGTAGAAATAATGGGAGTCAGATTGAATGAGGGTAGAAGAGAAGGTCACTGAGGTACTTTGAGCAATTAAAATAATTTTTTATCACCTTGGGGTGAAAATTAAAGGCAATTCCTATGGTATCTAAGCCAGCTTGCCTATTTTCTGGGCTTTATCTTCTGTGCTGTTCATATTCTGTCTAAAATTGTCTCTGGTCCTTGAGGTTTGAAATCACTCCTGTAGCAATTTTCTCCCTTTGTGCCCTCAGAGTAGACAGGGCAGAAATCAGAGAAGCTAAGCAGCAGCAAGCCATTGCATTTCTGAGGGTCTTTGCAGCTCTGAACCACCTTTTTCCTTTGTGTTGCCGAGTCCCTGCCTGTTCTCAATAAACACTGCAGATGCTTGTTTGGTCCCTGGGCTATGCATTTTACCCAGCCTTAATCTTGTTTCTTTCTGCATCCTGTAATGCATTTAAAAACCTCAGGCTGAGTCTGTCAAGGCTTTTCCTTTGATGGCCACATATTTGCTGTTGTGCAAGAGAACCAACAGCATCAGCACCACCCTGAAGTCCCAAAGACTGCATTGACCAATATGAGCTCTGCCAAAAGTAATTACAGCTAATATGATCTTTGACTTGTGTGATGGATCACGCGCTATAGTATTTCCTTCTTAAGAAGTCATATTAAAACAAAGAACTGTGTTCCTGAAGCTAAGGAGACAACAGGATAATAAAACACCCTCCCTAAATCCCCAGGCCTGCTCAGCCTAAGCAGCAGGAACTACAGTCTGAAAGACAGGTACCAGTTTGTTTACCCGACAGTAAATCCAAAGATGGTCCATTGCTTTCAAGGATATGGGACCTCCATTTGCTGCTTTGTATCTGAGAACAATCTCTTACATACACCTGCTGCTTTTGCCTGTGCTTGGAAATCCATTTTCAGCAGAAGTGATAGTCAGCACCGCCAGCCTCCCCATCCTCTCTGTTGTCAGGCCCCGTACCTACTGAATTACTTCTTTATCCTTGTCCTTGCTTATTGTGGCTTGACTTGCCTCCAGGAGGTGTACACTGGAGGTTCAAAACACAACACAGCCACAATGTGAAAGATTCTAAAGCTTACAGAAATCTGTTAACCCCTATCCTGTGTCACACATGGGATAACGAATGCACTGTGCGGAATAAGACCTGAAATTGCTACAACCAATGTGGTGGTGTTATTTTCTCAAGTTTCTAGATGCCCAGGACCAACACAGAAGAATTCCTGTGGTTTTCAAGTTACTTGCAGTACAAGGTGGCCATTATTAGATAGATGTTCACAGAGCAATGCAAATGCTTTCTGTTTCAATTAACTAATGATGTTCTATTTGCTGAAATACCAGCTTCTTGCTGAAATGTTGCAGGTGAAACTTAATTCTAGAAGCAGACTGCAAAAAAGTTGTAACAAGGCCTGCATATACCAGAAGATTCAAGCAGCTTTAATGGAACCAGGATTTTTGATTGAAATGGTTACATCTGTCCAAAAAGCTGGGTGCTCTTTATTTTGTTGTAAACTAGGCTTACTTTGGCTCTATTTTCACATTGATTAGGTATTAGTTTAAGTAAAACTCAAAGCTGCTTAAACTATAACATTGTTCAACTACCAACTAAAAAGCCAATTTATATCAAACCAATGCAGTTTTCTTTTGTACACAAGGCTAGAATATGGGAAATACAGGCATATAAAGATAGAGTGAGCAGTAATGAGGAACTCGAGGTAAACAAATTACTATCATGGAAACTGGAGGAGACAAAATGGGATTCTCAGTAGGTGAAAGGAGATAACAAGACACAGAGCAATCAAGCTTTAATTAAAGATTTCTGGTGTTTCTAAATAGGCTGTAAATACCATGAGAATAGCCTCTCTTTTGATGTTACAGCTTCTCATGTGTCCCACGACAACTTCTTTGTGTTAGGGCACACAGTACAAAAACGGCATGTTGTGAAATGTGCAAAAAGGTTGACCTTTTTTCCCCTCAAATCTAGCATTATTTTGTCCCTTCTGTCTGCATATCCACCAGCTGCTGTACGATTGTGGTTTCTTGCATGGAAACTGTCATCAAATCATTTACTCATGCACCCTGGCCTACAGTTTTCCTCTGGTCTCTTCCCCACAGCAGTTAGTAGTTGCATGAATTTTGTCTTTTCCATCAGGGAGAGTCCTGTTATGAGTACTTCCTTGGCTGTTTCTCGGAAGAACTCTGAGTCACATTAGTTAATCAGATGAAGGAGCTGAAAGGAACAGCGGAGCAAGTATTAAGTAAATGAAAATTACATTTGGTTGCTCTTTGTGTGCAATTATACTAACTGAACTGTTGGTATAATGCAATAAAGGTATCTGCAGAATTGTGGTTTTGTATTAAGCACCAATTAACACAGTGAATAACAGCTCAGTGCCCTCCTCCCAACAAAAGTAACATCCTGAACAGTGATGGAAAATGTTCAGAGACAATGGTGGGATCGCAGAATATGTAGGTATGGATTTCTTTATTGCAGTGTTTACACTTGCTTTCTCTGTAGGATTGAAAATAGCAAAGGTGCAATACGGAAAATCAGCATGCAACCAGATACCAACATAGCAAAGTCGAATTGGCATAATTGCTCTCTAGAGTTAATCATGCAATTGAAATAAACAGGGCAATTCACACATTTCAAAGCTAAGTTTTAAAGCTGCTCACAGCAGTTTAAACTGTGCAGAAACTGCTATAGATGTCAAAAGGTTTTGAAATAATTTTGCCACCTCCACCCATTTTGGTCTTTGTTATCTAACATGCGTTTCTACCATAGTTTGTAATTGTGAACAAAAAAATTCCAAAAACTTAATAGCATGTTCCACTTAACACCCTTTATGGAAGACTCTTTAGGTGAAACATAACAAGGAAAAGAAATTAGTTGTCTTCTAGTGTCTGGTTTCAGAAGGTGGCGAGAAACAAGGCGTTCTCATTGCTGTTCAAAGTCAGCAATGCCCTTACCTCGTTATACTGACCACAGATAATTACTTACAAGGATGCCTGTTTTATATAGACACTTAAGAAAAATCAAGCTTTAGATTATTTCTTTGAAACTATACTTATCATGAATCTGGCATACGTGTCAGCACTGCAGATCTTGTTGAACTGAAAAACATGTCCAAGTCTTCCATTGCTGCCCTCATTTAGAAAATAGAGACAGAAATAGTAACTCCATAAGTAGTGGAAAAGCTGACCTACTTTTAGTCTAGCCATACCTCTGTAACTGGTTCTGGTATTGCTGGCAAGACTCAGTAATTTCTATGATCATTTTATATCCCCCTAATATTTTGTAGACACATTTAAGAGGTCAGGGGCTTCAACTGTGAACACAAACTAGTTCTGCAATTTACCATCATCTTTCAACCCCCTGCCCTATTAATCTCTGGCAAACTTAATCCTGGAAAAGGTAATAATCTCAAATTACTGCTCACAGGACATTGTTAAATGGCAGAACCCAAAGCAAAATTGAAAGGTTTGTCCTTTGTTACCTCACTGAGCATGTTTGTTATGTAGTATATTTTGCCTACAGACTTTCAGCACAGACCAACCTTGGAATTACTGGTAATGCATAACTGAGACTGCTCATGCACTAAGTAAAAGGTACAGCTCTCCACACAGACCATGGTGCCAGTGGCAGCCAAATGTTAGTGAAGATTAGGATTGGCAGTTTCCTGTAAGCCTCTGATTTCCCACACTGGCCAAATATTGTAAGGGAAGCTTTTGAATGTTTTTACAAATAGATGAAGCAAACGTTCTGCTTGCTCATGGCATCAAGTTTGATGACATCTGCATTAGAGGAAGAAGTCAAATGAACTCTCTGAGGAACAGCTAAGAGAATTAATTGCCTCCAGAAGTTTGGTCGTGGGGGTTCTTATGCCCCTGAAGCATGAGACTTTATAGCCCTTATTAATGTAGCTTTTTACTCTACTGAAAGTAGGAATAGCCTTTTGTCCCGAAGAGAGGTTGTGGCAGCAAGTTCCACAAACTGCCTAATTGTTGTTTGAAAGCACTGATGCATTTCACTAACATGTTATTCTAGGTTCCAAAATAAACCAAGTATCATGATGCTTGGTTGGCAATTTTCTCAAATCACTGAAGTTTTGGTTTGGAATGAGTTTAACCTTGGTTCAAACCAGTTTGATTTAACAAATGCCAGTTAATACACTTAGGCCCTCAAGGTATAACTAAAATGCCTCTGTCTCTTTTGTGGTGCGGAGTTTATGTGCTGTATATGTGCCAGTGAAATTGCTTTCTATGTTAGAAGTATAAATGTGGTTTAGGCTTTGCTCCACTCTTCAATGTTGCTGGTTATTATTTGCAGCAGTGCCTGCAGGAGTGCTGCCTCAGGCTGCAAGTGGCATCAGAGCTTCAAACAAATTAGTCATTTGAAGTCCTGTGGGGTTTTGTTCATTTTGTTTTCCAAGAGTAGGACATCGCTCCCCTTTACCGTTGCTGATATCCAACACCTTGATTGCTGTGCATTTTATGTATCTAGCCAAACTGTGTGAAACCTAAAATGTCTGCTGTACTCTGTTCTGCATGAGTGACTGTATGTAAATACATCGGTCAGTAAATCTAATCTGGACAGAAAATTTGGGAAGGAAGAATTCTTTTTTAAATTGTTTTAATAGAGCCAAAATTACATTTCTTGCAAAATGTTGTTTCTGGGACCTTACCAATGAGCTTGTTAGGGAGCTTGAGGAGGGCAGGTGAGTGGGTGAACTGGCAGAAACTAAATGTTTCCTCGGTCATGTTTCTTGTGAAAGTGGGGATTCTGTCAAATGAACTGATGTATAAATTATTCACTGAAATGTAGTACCCTAATTCTGAATCTCTCTGTAATCTTCTTTTCTTCCCCCACCTCAAAAAGGCATTGTTATTAAAACAGTTAGCATCTTGCAGCTTCCAGTGATGAAATATGTGGGGACCCTACATTTAACTACTTGCTTGGTTTTGTCACGGGAAAGCTCAGCTGTTTCTGGAAACTGGACATCTGTAACTTGTGTGAAGTTGGGCAAAATTCCATAATCTGCAAGTTTTTGAGGGGAAGGTTTAGACTGGAGAGTCCTGCTATTTTTCCCATGGTGTGAGTGTGAGGTGCCAGCAGTTTCAGCCTGTCGCACACAGCAGGAGGAAGGAGAGATGTGCTGTGCCGTATGCGACAGACCACAGTTGTGCACAGATGGAAAAAATCTGTGCTTCTCACCCAGCTGCTTAAGGATTTTCGATTCAGTGCTGCTGCTTTAGTCTTTGGAGATCAAAATAATGCTTCAAACTGAATTACTGTAAACTGCTGTGGCATGCAGCAACCTGTAGAAGTGCTCTCTCTGAGCTCATAAGACGTGCTGCCGTCATTTCTAGAATCAAGAGAAAATCAATACTTTACAGGGAACGAAATCTTACTTTTAAAAAGGAATGATGGGTTATCTAAGGCAGTCAGTACTCTGTTTTCTTGCTGGGTTAGCACTTTCAGATCTTGGGCTACTGTTATGTATGCACGCCGAGGGTTGGCTCTGTGAAATGTGTAAGAGAGCGGAGGGGGAGAAGTGCGGGGGTTTTAGTCTGCATCCAGAATTGTAACTAAGACCCATCTGTCCTAATTATCTTGAAATGAGGGGCAGCTTCTTCCTGTGCCATATTCTGTCCCATTTAATTCAGTGACAAAGCTGTTACATGTTGGACTGGCTTCTGGTATATATAAACAGGAGGAGGACTGTTTGCAAGTTAATGCAGCAATGACAGATGAGGAGATCGTGCAACACCTGGCTGTAGGTTTTAGCAAAATCCCTGCTGGTTATATTAGGTGCAGTTCTCCCCGTGGACTTCACTTGGGCCAGACTTCCTCCTGCAATGTTTTGGGCAAAGGTCACTACCCAGCTCTGCTAGTTCAGAAACACATTTTTCCCATTTTTGTCTACCATCTACCTGAATAGAGCAAGTAAATATGCTTGCTAGCACTGATTGAAGCAGCTGCAGAACCTAGAAGGCTTTACAGACAATCTTGTATACATGACTGTATCAATAACAACAGGACCACTTTTGAAATATAAGATAGCACCTCCTCTGCTCAGTCATCTCCAGGTTCCTTATATCATACTCCCTGGCATAACATACCTGTGGTTTCTCATTCCCCATTCTCTCAAGCACTTAAAAGCCAGATTCTAAGAGCTTAGTGCAGATTCACTAACCTTAAATTACCAGCACTGTTTGCTCTTACCCTGATTCTGCCTCTGCACTGGAAGTGAGCCCCCTCTCATCTGTCCTAGAGGCAAGAAACACAAAAGCTGCTCTGGTTGCCTCAGGTTGAAGTCTGCAGGCGTAATGTTTGGAGCAGAAGGACATTCTCCTTCTGCAACACCAGGGCTTTTAAGGAACCAGAGGGCCATTAAAGAGCATTTTGGAATAAGATCCCCAGTCCCTGGAACCCAGTGGGAACCAAGAGCTGCCAGTTTCAGGCCCAGCTGTGCGGTGTGTTACATGTGTAATAGTCTAGAGAGAAGTTTGCCAAGGTCAGGTAAGCAGATACGTGTGGAACAAGATTTATTTCAAAGGACTAAATCAGAAATTTAAAGCTTAACCATAGCAGCACTATGCACACACTATGTCTGTCCTAGGGTTTTATCACTTCTAGTTTTCCTTTTTGATTCTCTCGTGTTTTGGGCTTACTGTCCCCTTGAAGGTCACCTGCATCTACCTTTGGGAACATATTTGGTATTTCACTGGAGACATCCAAATGGCTTCTTATTGTTCCAAACGAAGACACTTACCTGCCTGCTTTACTAAACATATGTTTCAGTGCAGGTGGCTAAGCCCACTGGGGTATTGCAATGTTAAATCACTGTGATAGCTGACAGAATGAGTCTTTCATCTTCCATTTAGTGTAAGATTTTGCTTTGGTTTTGGGGTGTTTTTTGCAAGGATAAGTATCTTCTGGTGCGAGACTGTTGATATCAGAGCTACTGAAACATTTTGCTTTAGTAACTTCTAGACTTTGCTTCCTTAGGTACCTGTTGTTTTGGGGGTTTTTGGGGGGTACATTTGAGGCAAAGGAGGAGAGGGGAATTCTTCCGTTTACTGTCTAAGAATTTTAAGACTTTATATTGCCACCCATTGCAGAAGGATTGGAGAAATAAGTGAAATAACTATGTAAATACCCATATAAAACAAGTAACACTGGCAAAAACCATAGAGGACCCTTGCACAGGAGTTTTGAGGAGGGGTGGTTCTTGCCTTGGTCCGGCAAGCAAAGTGAATAAAGAGCAGAACAGCTTCTTAATGTTTGGATGTTGGGATCATGCTTTGTATATGTCCTCATTTCAGAACACTGGTTATTTACAACATGTGGTGCCAGTGGTCCCTATGGCCCCACACAAAGCCAATGCAATGATGCCTACAGGAACTCCAAGCTCAGCGTGACTGTAGGAGCTGAAGGGATTCTCCAAGGCATTCAGATCTGGAGAGTACCAGCTACCAACACATACAGGTAAGGAAACCCTCTCTGATTGTCGTGGTGTGTCTTTGTGTTTGAAACTTACCCAAGCTGCAGATACATACTGGATATTTATGAAGTGTTGCCTTCAGAAGTTTGGCCAGAACTACTGGGGGTTTTACTTCTCCTTGATCCTGTGTTTTCCAATGTCTCCAGTCTCAGATTTGTTCTCTGGAAGATGCAACTTTTTTGGTGAAAGAGAGAAGAAAAGAAAGAGAAGCAACTATCTGAGGCAGGCACATCTTTAGCCTAAATGGTTACAGGTTGTGAGAGCTGTATCAGTAGCTGAAAATGAAGCATTTTGACCTCCCCAGATGAAGAGGAATATATATCCTACATGTCGTTCATTGAGTTCTGGGATCAGAATGAGTTTTTCCCACTCTTCACCTGGCATAGGAGGCACAATCATATGTCAGCGTTTCTCAAGGGACAGCTTGCATCAACCTCTGCTCAGCATTTTCACTTTTTTGAATCTAGACATGGCAAGTTGAGCCTGTAAGCCTGGCTTACCACTGTAAAATTGATTTTGGAAGCCAGCCACCTAAAAGGTAGGCTGTGTGATACTGAGGGTTCTAATGCTTAAATCCCTCGGTGGAGTTATTTTCCAAGAGAGATGATCAGATACAGTTCAATGCTACTTAATCAGATTTTCACCAATCATTTTTTTCTTTTTGCTCTTGCTGGAGAAAGAAGTACAATCGAATTGTAGTTCACTGTATCTGAATGGTAACATGAAGCCATTACGTGCATCAGTTTGTAAAGCAGAACTGTCATTTTGAATCAGTGACTGTCTAGTGGTAGGTTTTTATGCAACATTCCATATTGAAACCAATGATGGTATCATGGATTTCAAAGCAGAACATTCCACTGAAGGCTTTGAACAAATTTCAGTTAAAATTTACTGGTCCCATCTTTTTCTTTTTGTTGAAAAAGAATGTTAATATTGAGGCTAGATGTCAGTCTCTAACAGAGGCCTAGTGCAAAGCAGTTTTGAGAAACTTGCTAGGCTAGGCATAAGTTCTGCCTGAGTGCCTATTACCACAAGGATTGATGGTAATGAAAAAAGCATTAATGATATTTTACCCAGCTATCAACAATGAGATGCCTGAGGTGAACAGAATTTTTCAGGACCAGCATTCAGTAAATACGATTTTAAAGTACAGCCCAAAAGAGAACAGGCAATAAACTTACAACATTGTCATTTCTTTAATATCAGAGTCCAAGAAGAGCCAGAATTGCCATGCAACTGTAGGCTGATTTTTGCTACACAATACAAACCAGGGGCCCTGCAGGGAGGATCTGTCTATTTAAGTCCTATAGATGACCTAACAGACTTTAAGGTTTTGTATAGATAATAAATGTATAATGTCATGTGTAACATATATATAAATGGCTGACATTTCTCTTCTGCACCTCTTAAGGCTATAGTAGAAAATTCACAGCCTGGGGAAAGAAAGAGGCAATTGTGGGCTTAAATTAACTTGACATCTTCCTGATTCTGGTCTGCTGAAGGGGCAGCAGAGTCCCCCAGTATAGCATAGCCCTAGGAAAATGTCAAGTTGCAATATCAATTTTAGGGCTTCCCAGAGTCTGGACTCACTGCCTGTATTTAGCTCTCCCCTGCAGGCCTGCTGCAGTGTGGGTCCTGTAAGTCAGCCTGATAGCGTTGCTGATATACCTGACCTGGAGATAAATCCTCCAGCTGGCTGCTGGGCTCTTAAGAAAGCTGCTGTTATGCCATATCAGTGTGTTTTACACTATGTAATGTACACTCCTGATAATTCCATTAAAAAATTGCATAAAAAGGATATTGATTTTGTGAGCATGAGGCAGAATACACATTATTAAAATACAAGCAGCTCACCTGTGCGTAAAACTCTACTAGCACAAGCCAACCACACCCAGAAAACCCCACCATCTGTGAGGGTCTGGATAGGCTGCCACACACTGTAGTACCCACATTTGAAAACTGGAGTCTTACACGCTCTGGTTTGCTCACATGGGACTGCACATTATGTAACAATAAAGGTAGACATTCTATAGGAGTATTTTTCCTTCCAGATTTCCTTCTGAAGTCTTCAGAAGGAATTCTAAGGATTCAGAACGTCTAGTCATCTAGGCCTATGAGAGAAGTGTACTGTAATAAATTACATGTTATCATCCATTATCCAACTTCTTTCCATTTTTAAAGGAAGAGTCTCTGGTTCATTTTGCTGAGCAACCCATTTGTTGTCGCTTCCACTGTCCTCTCTTTTCTATGACCCCTTCTTCCAAGGTGGCACAAGAACACAGCCCAGTGGAGTGCAAAAAGTTGTCCTTCTAAGTCAGCCAGCCTAGGCACTGCATGTTCTCATACTCTCAAAACTAGCTCCAGTACGTTTCCATAACCTGGATGTTATGGTGGATGTTCTTCTCTAGCCCTGGTTTGCACAGCCAGTGCACTCTGCTCATCCTGATCCCTAAGGGTGTGATTTTCTTTTTCAGTTCCTAGAAGTGTTATAGTAAAAGAAAAGGAGGAAGACAGTGGGAGGTATTCTGTGTTCCTAGTGTATCTACTCAGGGTGCTCTGAGTCTTTCTTCAGGGCCAATATGGTAAAATGGGTTGCTCCTGTAAATGAAAGTTGTGCCTAATGAAAGGGGTCCTGTTAAAGATTGAAGTCAAGATAACCTGTCTCTTTAAATAGTGACACCCATTTTGAATAGTAAATGACATTCACCTCGATCTACTGGTTTTTATTTGTTTGCAGACTTTGAATGAGGCCAAACTGGGTTCTCCTGAACTTCCTGACGTCATTGCTTGTGTGCAAAATCTGTTCTTACACAGAATAATAGGGCCCCTACTTGCAGCCAATTAGCCCTGCCAGCTTGCTGTGCCTGGTAGTGCACCTCATTAGCCATTACAAAATTCTACAGAAAATCAGCTCAGTGTTCACATTCATGCAGCATCTGTTCAGGGTGGCCCAGTGCTGTGTCCATCACTTTTTTTTGCTGGCTCCAGTACAGCCTTACTAAGGACTGATTGCTCTGGTTATCAGCAGTGGCATGAACATAATCATATCACATTGCAAGGATCTAATATGCTTTATGAGACACTTGTTACTCCGTAGTTTTTCAACATCAGGACTGCTCCATGCTGGCTGCCTCAGAGCAGTGTCACAAGGTGAGTTCCTCCTGCTAATCATCAAGACAAGTTGCTGGCTGGAAGTGAGCTGACTGCCCAACCTGTTCAGGGTCCTCACTCACAATGGGCACTGCTGGTTTGCTCTGCTTGTGGCCTGTTTGCACAGAGAACTGTGCTGGGCAAAGACCAGACAGGTGCTAAAGGAAAGGAGGTGCTAAAGCAGAGCACCTAAACTGTGACTGGTAGGAAGCCAAGAACTTTTGTGTTCTCAGCCCTGCAATCATTGGTTTCATGCTCCAGGTGGACTTTTGCTCTCACGGAAATAACTGCAAACCTACTAATGCCAGTGGAGAATCACCTGCTTATTTCAGATCTAAAATGAGCTTGCTGTACCATCACTCACTTGCTCAGAAAGCTGAATAACTGTGTTTCGTTTCAGCAGAGATGTATGTTTTATCATGACCTTTATAAAGTGCTTTGAAATCCTCTGTTAAAAGCCGCTTCAAATATGTAAATTGCTAGAAAGGAAGAGGGAGGAGCTGAGCAATACTGCGGTACAGCCAAATCTTTGGGTACCTCAACAACAGCAAGCATCTCTGAATCCTGACTGCTTGAAATAAAAATCCCAGAGCAGCCTGTAGGCAACCTGTCCACTCCTGGCTGGAGACAGTAAGACATTCCTGGTGACCGTGAGTTTAGGCAGGGAACTTTTGCCTTGTTTGTTTTCTGCAGGTAGTGTCATCTCCATCTACTCTTCTGTATTCCTCTGGTCCTGGGAATAAGAGAGCTGTTTTCCATCTGGTCCATGCTACCAGGACCAGTTATACAGTCTGCTTTCTCAAATATCCCTCTGTCAATCTCATGCCTAATGTTCTCTTTAGCCATATGTCCTGTTTTCAGTAGTTCTCCTGCTTCTGTTCTTTCTGTTTCTTGCTGCAAACCTCTCAAGGATGTGCCTTCCAGGAAACAAGATGTGTTTCATATATTAAAGTTGGAAACATAAGGACTTGCTCCCTCTGTCCTGAGCAGTGTTTGCCCAAGAATCATGTGAAAGAATCTGTTTTGTAGCTACCCAAGTTCACAGATCCAAGTAGAGCAGAAAACCTCAGTCTTCAAGCTTTGGGTTTAGATCTATTTAGAATGTCAGGTCTTCAGGGCATGGCTCTGTGACACTGTGTTCAGGTGTGCAAAACTCTCAGTGCCCAGAATTGGTTTGTGCTCCCTTCCACCTGTGTGGGACAACTCAGGCACCAGGCTCTTGTTTTGTTTTTTTCCTGCAGCATCTCAGGCTATGGAGCTGCTGGTGGGAAAGGAGGGAAGAACACCATGATGCGGTCCCACGGTGTGTCTGTGTTGGGAATTTTTGACCTCCAGAAGGATGATACTTTGTATATCTTGGTGGGACAGCAAGGAGAAGATGCATGTCCTAGTGTAAGTGATTGGCCTTTGTGTTTTGCCTTAGTCTCTTCTACCAGTCCATGGAGTTTTGTCTGTTCACACAGAATAATGTTGTCCTCAAGGGGCTTGGGTTATATGGTGCAAGGAATAGGTACAGTTTTACTGGGAAAATATGAGTGTGAAAAGATGAAGTACCGTGTCACTGTGCTCACCTCCTCTTCAACATTTGGGCCCCGTTGATAATACACTACAGGTTCCTGACTGATCTGCATATCTCGAACCATCTGTGTGGTGTTTTGGAGAGAAAAGACAGCCCTGCCTTCCTTTTCTCTGGAGATCAGTCTTCAAGGTTGCCTTCACAGGGCTTTGCCCTCGTTCTGCTGTTGAGGCCAGCCCTGCCATTGTCATAGTCCTCTGCAACTCTGGAGACACCCACTTCACAGGGCCTGTTTGCTTATTCTCTGTGTGGGAATAGGAAAGACAAATCACTCACTGCTGGGTCAGTCCTGATTTTTGTGTTACTAGCCAATCCTTGCTGCAAATGTCTTGACAGAAAGGTGCCACTTCCACTGTTCACATGCACAATAATCTATTAATCTTTTAGTATTCTTTGGAGGAAGAGGGAATAGGAGATTCTTGTGGAGAAAACTAAGCATAATCTGATGAAATTTCACCTGCAGGCTTGAATTTACGTGCTGTGAGTTTCTCAGCTGTTAATGGCTGACATCCAAGAGATGAAAGCTTAGCAGTCTGTTACAGCAGAGAAAGGTTGAAGGATATAGACAAGAAAGAGGGGTTCTCAAGGCCAGCTGCTGAAGTAAATAATGTTAAAACTAGAATTACACATATCTGCAAACAAACCATTAATAGAAAGCCTTTTTGAAATGAGAAATTCCCTAACTCAAACTTCCATCTAACGTCTATAAGTAGGACATTCCAGCTGAGTGTAATATATGGACTCATTAAATTGCAGGCCACTGTAATCTTAGTGAGAATTTATTGAGTGCTAATGTAATTCTTTCATTGAAGCAAAGAGATTGCATTGACTTGTAGAGGGGACTTTTACTAGATTGGATTGTAATCAGTTATGTCTTTGCCATGAAGGATTATTTTTTTTGTAATCTAGTGGTTCCTTTGGGTCATTGACTTTGTCGTTTTATTAATCATTCCCACCCAACACCAAATCAATTAAGGAGAAGGAAAAATAGGGAAAAGAGGACTGTTTAGTTCCATAGGCAAGTCTGCATGCACAAAATGGATGCTATTCATTCTCTGGCACAACCTAGGACACATTTTGTGGTCAGCAGAATAATTTGTAATTTGAGGATGTTTTTATCAGGTTCCTCTTCCAAGAGAAACCATATGCATGAAAATAGAAGGAAGCAGAAGGTCAATTCTACTCTAACAACCGTTTATGCATTTTTCCCTAAAAGTGTTTTTGGTTAATAAGTTCCGTGTGCAATATAACAAGATAGTGCTACTGACATAAAACCTGTAAGATAAAATAAATTTAGAAGCAAAGTTTACAACTTGAAAATGCTTACAGCAGAGTCCTGCTTGTCATGCACTTTGGTGTTCCAATTTAAAACCAAAACAATAGTTAGATCATAGTCCTGAAGTACTTATAAATTATGGTTTAATGTTGTGTTTGAAATCAATTAGTGAATCCAGTGATTTGCCTAATATAGAAAGTTCATTGTTTGGTGCTAATTGATGGAGAGGGAAAAATGCTAGTAAGAAATATGAAGCCTTTTTAGAGAGGTATTTTCATTAACATGAGGTGAACATTGCAATCAAACATGGGATTGCTGCTGTTTTGGTTGGCTTTGAACTGGTAATTACAGTAAAATTGCTGCTGCAGCATAAGCATCAGATCAACATCAAAACTTGCTTGGAAGTCCAGATAAATATTGGGTGGCTGTTCTATTTTGAGCTCATTACTAGTGTTCATCCTATGACTGCCGAGGTTAAAGTTAGCTCTGGTATGTGAGCCACCAACAAATCTTAGTTCTGGATAAATACACATTGGTTGCTTGGCCCACTGGAAATGAAATGAAGAAACTCAGGTTCTCTCTATGTCTCTGCCATTTGGTTGTTGTGTGACATGGAACAAGTCACAGCATTGCTGTTACTCTGTTCCCCCCACTTGTGAAATGCAAACAGGTAATGCTAGGAAATATTAGCAGCAAATTCTGCTCTATTTTATATATTAAAAGTTTGTGGAGCTGTTGTACATGGTATTAGATGTCAGCACCGAGCTTGATTCAAAATAATTCTATCAAAAATGGCAACAAATTCTTCTGACAGAGGTTGAAGCCCAAAGCGAGATTCTTCTAGGAGAGTGTTCACTTGGTTCTGCTCACGTAGTTTCACTGGAGGACAATTTCTTGCTTTGGGAGGGTGAAGCATCCCTGAGGCTTCAGAATGTACAAGGACATGGAGATTTCATTCAGACCTGGTCTTCTGTTTGCAGACTAATGATGTTATACAGAAAGTCTGCATTGGAGAGAACAATGTGATTGAAGAAGAGATACGTGTGAACAGAAGTGTCAATGAATGGGCAGGAGGAGGTGGAGGCGGGGGTGGTGCAACTTACATATTTAAGGTATGGAAACATAGTCCTCCATACACCTTCAGCATGAACACATCCTGCCACTGGCCTCAAGTATTGCACCCTGAAATATCTGAAAATCCTTTGTACACATCAGGGAAGGGGGACACAAAGTGAGCTCTGGGTATCCTTAATTTCCGATTGATAGCTGTAGTGATCTGAGCTGGCCCTTCACACTCCTTCAGACTGATGTGCAGTATGGCCACACTTGCTTCAGTGGCTTGTAATTTCCTTTGTGAATGTGAGGTTTGAGTGGGATGTTTTTCAACAGAAACTGAGATGCCGAAGCATAATTCTACAGCAAAGGGCAAATTCTGCAGGACTTTATTCAACTGTGTCATTGTAGAACATAAGGCTTCAGCTATACATTTGGTCTCTACAGTGCAATGACAAGAAAAGTAGAGGATAGACTGTGTGTTTTCTGTTGGCAACCCTATAGCTAAGGGTCACTGATCTTTTTTGTCATGTGCTAGCTGAGACAGTACTCATTCCAAACACTGGTTTCAGGCAGTCCTTTGCCAGAGGAGAAATTATACTGCACTGTATAGAGCAGTGATTCATTTGATGAGAGTCATCACACAGTAACATTACAGGGTTTCTAAGAGCCATCAGCTGAGCAGGTACAATCCATAGAGCTGCTGATGCCACTGTTCCCTGTTGCAGAACTTGGTAGGACTAGTGCTATGCATTAATCTTCTGGATATGAGTGCATAAAAAATGCAATGATAATTTGTGGTGCTGAGCAGTCCTAGATGCCTGCTTGGTGCAAAGTGCAGTAACAACCATGTAGCTGAACTTTTATGTACATACCTGACTCAGCTTGAACACTGCCTTTATTTCTGAATTTGTTAAGATGGAGAATGGAGAACCAGTCCCCTTGATAATTGCAGCAGGAGGTGGTGGCAGGGCCTACAGGGCCAAAAAGGACACATTTCATCCAGAAAGGCTGGAGAATGACTCCTCTATTCCAGGGTTGAATGGAAATTCAGGAGCTGCAGGTAAGGGGAGTTTTTTCTTTTTAAGAAAACCTTTGAGAATATGTGGCACTCCCACATATTCTCCTCACAAGGAGGTGAGGCAAAAATCATGGAAACACAGTTCAGGGGAACATAGAATCAGAAGAGATGCAAATAGGAGGTACCCACAGTGCTGGATACTTGGCATAAATAAGGGTATAAGAGATTGTATAGCCATAGCAATTCTCCCAAAATACCTCTCATAAACAAAGTTGTTTGAATTTTTGATGTGGGAGTTTGCAGCACCAATGTGGCCATCCTGCTCCCTGCACTGTTTTGTGCTGCGTAGACATACTCACAGTTTCCCTGGCTTATGCAGAAAGAGCATAATTGCACCCTGGCTAGAAGTCTCTGTGAAGAGACCTTGGACTGAACAACCAGCAGAGCTGAAAGTGAGTCACTGGTGAGTATGTTGTATGGAGAGCGGGGCTGGGACACGTTTTCACACCCCTTTCACTAAATTCCTTTTGTTCCACTTCAGAACTGACACAGGTGTTTTTTTCAAAAGTATTTTTTTTCAAAGAGAAGGGGAAGGCTCTTTAAACTAGAAATAAGTGGTTGGAGACTAGGCAAGAATATCTTTTTATATTTTCTGTAGAAAATACTTGTCATTGTATGGTAGATGAAAAGAGGCACAGATGGTTAACATGGCAAAAACCCTACAGAAAGGTCACTGTAGCACTGTGTAGCAAGCACATCCCCTCTTCCAACCAAGGCATGAGATTCTCACTTTCAGCTGAAGTGCTTTGAGTAGGTGCTTGTTCTGCAGATCCTTGCAGTGTTTTTTACACAAAAAATAACCCCTACCTGTGCCATTTCTCTTCTCTCAACTGCAGGTGGTGGAGGTGGCTGGAATGATAACACTTCCTTCCTGTGGTCAGGAAAATCCTTGCTGGAAGGTGCTACTGGAGGAAGATCCTGCCCCCAGGCCATGAAGAAGTGGGGGTGGGAGACAAGAGGGGGTTTCGGAGGGGGTGGAGGGGGGTGCTCCTCAGGTGGAGGAGGCGGAGGATATATAGGTAAAGTGGCTTCGTGTTCAAGGTGTCCCTTCCCCTCCTTTAGTGCTAATGATCAGCAAAATGCTGGTAGATAATTCTCCTGTAGCTAGCATATTTAATTGTTATGTAATAGTATGTCTGTGTGTTGCCTTTTTAGCAGTAGATGAACGTATGGCATTTAGTCTTTGAGCAAACGGCCAGATGTCAGTCCTTCATCTGTAATCCTGGCTTTGCACTCTGCAATATGTGACATTAAGACCCTGCTGTGATTCTTGAGCCTTTCATGTTGGGGTGACAGTGCTGAAGAAGGAGGAGCCGTAGGCTGTGTGCTCCCATTGCCAGCACCTGTGTTTGGAGGACTTTGGTCCCGGAGACTGGCAGCCAGACTCTATGCCAGGAGAAAGATGCAGCTTCTACCCTGCCCTGCTGTGGGTGGGCCTTGGTCCTGCACAGGTGTCTCTGGGGGCAGAGGTTCAGGCTGCCAGCCAGGACCCCTCTTAATAACAACAGTGGTGTTGACTTCAGTCAACGAGGAGCTAATTTCATGTGCTGCGGGTCTCAGGACAGCTGTCAGATGGCATTATGTTGATTACAACTGGTGTGGGCCAGATTCAAGATCCCTACTAACCCAAAGTCTCCTGGGCCACATAGTTTCTTCAGCCATCTGCACTGTGGTGGACTCTTTAACCCCTGGTTCTCCACAGCTTAAATTGAGTATTTGGTAGACTAGAAATCCTCAGAGGAAGTAGTGAGTTTAAATGATTAAGTGCATGTTTTGTACCAATGTTATTGTGTAATGCTTCTTTTTCCAACAGAATGCCTTACATGACATTTTTAATTTTGCTGAAGACAATTAAAGAGGAAAACTTTTTTTTGGGGGTGGAGTGGGGGAATCTTTGCATGCTTGTAGTACAAAGTATATGGCTTGTACTGTGCTTCTAATATTTTTTATGCATTGCCCATACTTTTCTTCAGATATGTTCTATATGCTCAAGCACAAATGAGCAACAAATAAATTCCTTCAGTCCCCACTCCTGATGGACTACCCTGCTTTCAGGGTGCAAAGGAGAGGAGGGATAGCAAGTTATTCATTCCCTCTGCTGATGTACTAAATACCTCAGTCAGCAAGGGTACTGAATTTAGCCCTTGAATACTGGTGTTTTCCAGTTTCTTGGCTGCATAAATTTTAAGAAGGGCTTATATGTTTCACAGCATCCAAATGGTTAAAGATGAAGTTTGCACCTTAGTTTGCAACAGTCTGCCCAAAACAGAGCTAATAAATTGATTGTCAAAACTACTGTTATTAAATTGAAGTTTTAAAAATTAAAAGTCCAGTGGTTCATGCAACAACTTGCTAAATATTCCCTATATATTACATACCTTAATGTTTCTCTTTTCTCATTTGGATGATCCCCTAAATATGCTGAAATCATGCATGTTGCAATGTTTATCTGTATTTCATTGCCATTGAGCCTCAGACTGTTAAGGTAACTTCTGGTTTGACATAGGTGGCAATGCTGCAGTGGACAATGACCCAGAGATGGATGGGGAGGATGGTGTGTCCTTTATTAATCCAATTGGTACTTTATATACTCCAGCACTTAAAGGTATTCATATTGTTCAGAAGTTTTCTAGTGGGCTTATTTCATTTTACAAATATTTTGCATCTGTAGGACAGTTTACAACCCTTTGCGTGCAGTTTAGTGTCATGGACATGAGGAGGCAGAAAGATAGCAAAGTACAATGGAGAATAGACAGAAGTAGGAAGAAAGCAGGTAGAGAGAACATCAAGGCTATTAGGAAACACCCCCAACAGTATAGTCTACCAGCCTATAGAATAATTTTTGGCAAGGAAAGTGGTAACAGAACCTCATAATTCAGATCCGTTAGGAAAGAAACAGGCAAAACACCTGACGATTCACTAACAAGCAAGGTCCTTAGAGCATCCCTCAGCAAAGTATCCAAGTTAGACCAGGTTGTTTCTAGAGAAAACATTGCATTGCTGCTCAGCAGTGCATGGGAGTGATGAATACTGCCACTCCAACTTGTGTTTGCCCAGAAATCCATGTCGTTAATATGTTTGTGATGTGCTCATGAAACACACCAAAAAAAATCTGCTTGTTAAAAAAAATATGTTTGCTTTAGAATAACCAGAAATATTTTCAAATACAGATGCACTCTGGCCTGGTAGATTCAGCCAGAAAGTTTTGAAAACATTGCAGTGCTTGATCTTGAAATGAGTAAAGGCCAGGAAAGAAAATGGTGAGCCCCATGGGCAACTTGCAAGGGCAGGTTTCCCTTAGCCGTGGCAGCAGCTTCCTTGCTAACCTGCTAGGACTATCTGCTCAAAGAGAGCCAGGGAACCCTCAACTGCAATGGGGCTGTTAGCTGTCACATGTTATTTTCTTAGTGAGGAAAGGTGGGGAGAAATTGGTTTCTTAGACGGGGCCCACCCTGCCACATCATGCAACAGCAACCACCATGTCCCCTGTTTCTGTCAAGGCCCAAGGGAATTGTAAGAATGGTCTTTACAGTAATTAACTCAGCTTCTTCATCCACTCCCTAGTGACAGAGGGGCATGGAGAGGTGGATATTAGGCTGCATCTTAACTGCAGTCACTGTGAGATGGACGAGTGCCATGTTGATCATGAGAGTCAAAAAGTCATTTGCTTTTGTGAGCCAGGCACAGAGTTGGCTGAGGATGGTGTGTCTTGCATAGGTAAGTAGGTGTGTGGCGTACTGCTAGCATGTGAAACGGAAAGCGCATGGCCAAATGCTGTAGTTTGAACTGTAAGACATCCTGAAAGTGTTTAATCTAGTCTTTCTTAAAACCTGACTTCTGTTGAATGTTTCCTTCTTTCCTGCTGCAGTGTTATTTTGCTAGGATATAGCAGCATGATGGCTGAGGACTGGTACACTGAGCAGCATTGCTGTTTTGCTCTACAGTATGTTTGACATACTGGGCAGATCTGCGGAAAGACAAATTTTGTGCTTGGTTGCGCTGGTGCTCACATTCTGCTCTGAAATCATGAAAGTGAAGGAATTTTCCAGCTAAAGTTAGATTCCAGGCCAGTTCTCTTAAGAACAAAAACAATGTGCAAGGTGAAGGAAAATATAATTCCTGTGGATTTGGGCATTTAAGGTGCAGGCGCAGAATCCGTAAGAAATTCTGTGTGAGATCTCTCTGAGGAAAACTAAAGACGTGCCTGTACTTGCCTGTCTTGACAAACTAAATGGTCAGAGCTCCATTACTAGGTTTGCCTCATATTCTTGTACAGCAGTTAGAGCAGTGACTCCAGGCTTTTGGGATCCTGATTTCAGATTTGTCACTGGCATGGGAAAATTGTTCTGTGTTTTTACCATTTCTATCTGTAAGATGGGTAAAAAGCATGGCCATTTTGTCAAGGTAAAATAAACCTTAATAGTGTGATCCCAAATGAGGATGCAGCTATGGAATACCTTGCACTGCACTAACTGTTATCAATTTTTTTCTGCCTGGATTAGACGCATTTAGGAGATTATATATTGCAGTCCTCCTTCTGCTTTTTCTGTGATTTGGCAGTGACAGGAGCACTTTAACCCTGACAATGTAATGTTCTTTCCACCTCCCCAACCTCCTGCCCCTGGTTTTTATGGTCTTGTTTTGATACCCAGAGAGTTCACATGTTAATTTATTGATAGCAAACCATCTGTTTTAATGGGTTGATATTAATTGAGGAATGTGAAACAATGAGGTATGAGAAGTCATAGATCCTGTGAACTGATCATGCCAGAGGTTACTTCTACACTATAGGAGCAGCAGATGAGTAAATGGAAGGAATAGCAAAAAAAAAAAATGCAAAAAAAGTGGCTCCTGGAAGATCATTTCAAATATGTAATTCCTTCTTCTCCTTCCTCTGTTACAGCTGAGCCAGTGGTTCATCTCCCTCTCTCCTTGGTCTTGTCTGTACTGACTTCAGCATTGGTGGCTGTTTTAATGTTGGCTTTTTCAGGAATCATGATAGGTGAGTGTTTCTCTGCAAAAGATATTTTCATATGAGGGCTGGATCTGAGCCATGGATAATTGGGTCCTGGGAGGCAAAAGGATTCAGGTTTTTAGCTACTGCTGTATTTAATAACACCTTCCCACACACACGCCTTAGCTTCAGATTTCAGTAGTTGTTTCTAACCACAATGACCAATTTGAGGAGGCTTCAGTTACTGACTGCATCTCGAAAGAGACATTATTGTTTCTGTTCTACTGTAAAGCTGCCAGAACACAGCTGCTTCTGATTTTGTGAGATCTGCTGCTGTTCAGTGCGTAAAAGCTTCTTTATTTGTGTGCCTACATACACATTTTGCCTCTTAATGTACAACATCTAAGCTTAAATTCTCACATAAGTTCCCCTTTTACAAACTGCTACTTAGTAGGATGTGGGTATTCTTGGCTTTTTTTTTTTTTTGAAATTCTGAAAGGTATTTTTCACCCTTTCATGTTCTTATTTTGAACAATGGCTCACCTGCATTTGGTGCAAGCAGAATGGGTTTGAATCAATGCAAAGCACCAGGGATACAAACCTCAGCTTTGCCACCTTTCTTTGTCCACACAGTGTATAGACTGGGGGAGAAGAGGGATGTACCTAGAGCAGCAAATGGCAACTATTAAATTAGATTTGCGCAGCTGTTTCAGTTTTAAGGATTTCAGGAGTTATCAGTTGCACACACATGGTCCTACATGTATGATTTCTGGCCTGACAGTACTTTTTACAATTACTAAATACTTCTCAGGAGCAGAACAGTAATCCTCTTTCCATCCAACTAGTCTATCATTTCCATCTCAGGAAAGAGCAACGATTTTAAAAATCAAAGCAAAGGCAATGAGGAGGAAAATGGAGGACAGGAAGGGTTTGTGGATAGGTCATTACATCCATCTGCCTTTGCGAGTGCATGTTTACCCCTTAAATTCTTCCCCTGAGCAATATCTCCTGGAGAAGATGCAGTAGCTATTACCGTCACAGTCTTTGGGCTCAGTCCAGCTCCCACAGAAATCAATAGTGATTTAACCTGCTCATGATTGTCATCTTGCTTTGGAAAAAGTCCTGCAATATCAATTACTATTTCAAGGAATATCCACAGGATGTTGTCTTTCAAGATGTGGATTCTAATGACGTAGCAGAAGTATCAGTGAAGTGATGCAAGGAATATAACACTACCATAAACTGATTTCAAATGCAGTCCAACTTTGTTGTTTAGAAACAGAAGAAGTTTTGAAGAGTGAGCTATTTTTTGTGTACGTGTTATTCTGAGCAAACAGCTTGGTCTGTCCATTTTGAAGAATATGATGCAATAATTCATTTCAGACTTTAGTCACTTCTGTGTGATTTAGGAAAGTTGGTTATACCCCAGCTCCCTCAAGTTTGGAACTGGACTCATGTTTGGAATGTCCAGTTAAACTAAATAGAGATAAACAAAATCCACAGAACTGTGAAATCTAAGATCTCTGCGAGTGAAATTAATTTTAGTTCTTCAAAACAGTTCACAAGCAAGCCTGTTTCTTCATAGGATGTGTAAATCAAAGGTTCCTTTGGTATCTTCAGATTCCATTTTCTGTCTGTAATTATTCGATGTACAGAAATGTGACAGTGTCCCTGTCTGGTTTCATTCCCTGAAATCTGACCATACAACAGCCAGTTCTAGTGAGATGTGCTGGCTTACACGGCTGCTGTCCTGTTCCAAAGTCAGTCTGTGTCTCTGGTTGACTGTGTTCTCCATGTTTAGTATACCGTCGGAAGCACCAGGAGCTACAAGCCATGCAGATGGAGTTACAGAGCCCAGAATATAAGCTGAGCAAGCTGCGCACCTCCACTATAATGACAGACTACAACCCCAACTACTGCTTTGCAGGAAAGACCACATCCATTAGTGACCTTAAAGAGGTGCCTCGAAAAAACATCTCCCTCATCCGGTAAATTCATCGTTGCGTTCCCCATCCTTCACACTACACACTCCCGTAGGCTGACTCTCTTACAGAGGTGCAAACACGCCTCTCTGTGCAGGCACATACAAATCCTTAAGCACTTTTAGTCACGTGCCCCTTTTCAGTAGTTGCAGTAGTTGGGCTCGTGTGGAAGGGCCTAGATTTTGGCAGTTGAACTTTTAGAGGTGTAGTGTTAATCTCCTGGGATTATGAGGAGAACTGAATAGTCATCACCGGCAGTTCAGACACGTCTTTTACAGACAGTGCAGTGAATGGCCCATTTCCAGAATGAACTGATGAAATGCTGGGAAGGCTGAGGCTTGCAGGAGGCTCCTTTGTAAAGTCTTTAATGGGATCTTTGGTATAGACAATGACATCCTTAAGTACAGTATCAGGGAAAACAATGGGTTGAAAATACTAGACAGTATTAAAAAGGCAGGAATATGAAGCCAGGAGGATAGTAGTATCTAGATAGGAACTTCTGGAAAGCTCAAAAAGGTCTCCTAAGAAAAACTTGAAAATTTGGAGTTCTTACACACTTTGCTCTACTGCAGGGTACTTGTGAATGTGACATGACCCTGATACCATGCAGTTTTATAGAAAAAACCAAGTGGAAGCAGGAGAACTTGGAAAACTAGGGAGCTTAAGGTGCTAAAAAAGTTGATGCTCGGAGCAGTCTTTGCAGTCCGAAGTTTTGCTGTCTCTTATTTCCCCTTACCTGCACATCTTTCTAGACTGCAACTGGAAGTTTCCAGTGTGCCTTGTGCTGCTGCTTCCTTTGTCACTTAGTCTTTGAAAGGATTTTTGAGCTGTGGCGAGCTGCAGATAGCAGAGGATACAGCCAGGAATTGATAAGGGAAGGGAAGGTAGACTTTTTGGAAGGAGGATGAGTTATGAACTGTAGACATCTGTTTTCTACCCTTAGTTGGTAATAAATTGGTCAGGAAGAGCCAAGAATAGTGTCTCAATCTGATATCTACAAAATTTTATTAAATGAAGTGGCCGAGTCACAGGCAACACAAGTCCTCACTGTGGTTTCACTGCCTAGACTGGTCTGGTCTTTATCCTGGCAAAACTATTAGACAGAGCTTAGGCAACAGAAGAGCAGATTGTTCTAGTCTGTTCAAATGGACGGGAGGGCAACAGCCCATGGAAAAACAGTCCACCTGTACTTCAGAGGACGTAATCAATGGAGCTCCCAGGCCAGACCTGGCTCTAACAGGAGAGTGTGTGCTGTAGGAGAGAGCTTTACTGAGAGCCTTTTACCTGGACTGAGATGCAGGAATGTCTCTCAGAGGCTCAAAATACTACTGTCCAATGTGCAGCCCATGCAGGGTTAAGAGGGACTCGGGATCCGGGATGAAGCCTCATTCTCTGCCATGGTTTCCTGGGTTGTTATGTCACGACATAACTATGTGGAATAACTATCATTGTACCAGTTGGCTTAACATTAAGAGAGTGAAGACTGAATAGACAGGTTTGCAAAATCTGTATCACAAGGACCTGGAACAGGACCTATTGTTCGATTACTTTTATTCCCTTCTCTTTCTCTTGTAATCTTATTCAAAATAGAACTGTAAATTTTGTAATATGATCAGTGCTAGAAACAATTCTCAGCATGAATTCCTAGAGCTGAGTGCTTTACAAAGCACTATCATCACCATTTATTGGCTAAGGTACTTGCCCAGAATCACACAATAAATCAAGAAAAGACATTTGGTTTAGAATTCAGGACTTTTGAGAATCATTGTTGCCTCCTAGTTTCTTGTTCAATGTTTTGTTTAATGGTGATGCAGAAACATTATGGGAACTGTAAAGTATTTAGGGTTTGTAAACACCTAGACTTAAGTCCTATCTTTATTGACTTGTTTTGGAGCACCCACCGCTAGAGCACTGACACCAAAGCCATAGAAGAGTGCTCTCCATTACATGCTGCAGTGCCAGCAGCTCGATTTCACTGGGGACTGTTCACTTCCAAGGATTGCTTTCCCTACCAATTAAATACATTGCAGGTCCAGGAAAGATCACATCAAGGTCTGGTCCCCTGCATAGCGTCAATATCCAGTTCTCCCTGTTTCACTGCCATGAAAATTGTGAGCCCATTCTGTGAGCTGTGTCCACAGTGTTATAATGTCTGTTCTCTGTAGTAAAACCTTCTTGTCTTCTCTGGTCTGTCCAGGGGTTTGGGCCACGGAGCCTTTGGTGAGGTATATGAAGGTCAGGTGACAGGGATCCCCAGCGACCCCACTCCCTTGCAGGTGGCTGTGAAAGTAAGTGACAGTGTATGAGTTATCATGATGGTTTCATGCACCTTTCACCCAAGAGTCCCAATGCATTATAAAATTGAAGATGAATGAAGCTTTGCTCTAAGTACTGAAGGATGTGGCTAGAAAGGTTGCTGCTCTGTTGCAACACTTAATCCATCACAGCAATGGTACAACTTGTAGCATATGGGCATGTGAAACTATTAAAAGAGGTCTGTAAGTAGTAAACAGGCAAAGATTTCCCACTGAGCTACAGCAGACTGCAGTTATGAGAACTAAATCCACTCTCTGTCCATCCTCCCCATTCTACACCTGGTGTGGTAATCTGTCCAGAGCCTTGTGAGTCAGAGGCCAAAAGTCTTTATAGGGCCAAAAGCAGCTGGCACATACATCAAAGACTCTGCAAGTAGGAGATGACTGGTTTTCCTGGGATCTCAGCACTCCCTTACAGGATGGATATGCATTGGATGTGAAGCTAAATCCTAAGAGACCCTGATAGGGTTCTCTGAGCCTTCTGCAACCTAACTGGCTTGTCTTCTCCTAGAGGTTACATAGCAGCACAGTCCTGCTGCTGGTTAGAGTTCACAATCTTGCTGGAAGGTAGGAGTATTGAACTGCAGGGAGCTCAGGAACTGTGATCTCATCCCTCATTCTCTATACAGCAGAATCCCATATACTGAACACTTCCCTGTGCACTCTGGGCTATTTCCTTTGCTGGGAGGAGGATGACAGTGGTGTTGATGGGCTGTGTGTTCTGATATTTACCTTTCAAAAGCTTCACAGTCTATTTTAGCAATGGTCTAGCTGTTGTCTTAGAGTGAGGTTGCTTTTATAGAAACAAGGATTGCTGCAGACAATGTTAGTGCCAGGTGTTCTACATCTGTAAGCTTAAGTATCTTCTCCTTGTCAACCTGTTCTTTCTTTTACAGACATTGCCAGAAGTGTGTTCAGAGCAAGATGAGCTCGACTTTCTCATGGAAGCTCTCATTATTAGGTGTGTATGAATAACATGAACTTGTGTATGCTTGCAAAGCCCAGCACTGTGAAGAAAAAAAGTTCCTTAGAGGTGATGCCCATGCAGCACATCTATACAGTAATTTTAGGAGAAAGAGGATAGGTATCATCATCCTTTTCTACTCTTCTTACAAACGAATAGGCACCAAATGATTAAAGGCTAAATTTTGAAAAGGGTCCACACTCGTTTTCAATATCCAAAATGAAAAAATTAAGGCCCTGTTTTCAGAATTGATAATAGGATCTTTTGATTTCTCTTAGAGATGAAAGCATGAGGTAAAAACCAACCTGAGGAATTTAGATTTGACTAGTCAAAACTTAACAGCTTGACTTCACATTGACTTTATACTGCTGTCATGTCAAGTGTCAGTGTCTGAGTCCTGGAATCCATAGGAATGGTTTCCCATCACATTTGAGGTCTGGAGAAATAAGGAAGTATTACAGACTAGACCTCGAGGAACATTCCCTACACAAGCAGATCCCTATGTCAGTATATTACTTGGAACAACACTGCCCTAGCCCAGCTTCTGCCCCTTGGATGGGGAAAGTTAAGAGCAGACTGTTATCAGACGTGTTTTGCTTCCTATGCCCCTCAAGTCTTGCTGTAGCCCAGAAAGAGTGCAGGGAAGAGGAAAAGCAGCCAAAAGCCACTGCTTCCCCACCTCTGTCCCTGCACTGTGCAGACAGATACAGAGTGCAGGGGTAGTGCTTTAGCTTTATCCAGTTAGCCTACCTTTGAGATTTGTTACTTTCTAGGAAAAAAAAAAACAAAACAAACAACAAAACAAAAAACCAAACATTCCCTGCGGCAAAACATTTTGAATTTGTCCTGCTATTGTGCTTTTTGGATCAGAGTTGCTCCATAACTGAGCCTCCCTGTCTCCACAGCAAGTTCAACCACCAGAACATCGTGCGCTGTATTGGGGTGAGCCTGCAGGCGCTGCCCCGTTTCATCCTGCTGGAGCTCATGGCTGGAGGGGACCTGAAATCATTCCTGAGAGAGACACGGCCCAGACCGGTAAGAAAAGAGAAAACTGTATTTTATCTAGAAAGTTGCTGCCATGAGGCAAATACTTAACTGCAAAAGAGCTGATCCATGCAGATACTATTTCCCAGAATTTTCGATGGCCAGAAAATTTCTGTTGCTACAAGACCACTGTGGAGGCAAGACCCAGGTGTATAGGGAACAGATGCTGCTGGGGTTATGCAGAGGTGCCTCATTCTCAAACTTTGCTAGATAGCATTGCAGATACTACCTAAAGAAAGACCAAAATCAAAATTTAAAAAAAACAGAAGTTAAACTCAACTCTTACCTCCCTCACACCAGTTGGGGGCAGACTGGGAGAAGTGTTGAGCTAGTAATGGTAAATCCATTATTTAAACTGCTGATCAGGTGCATTTCTGTGGATATCTGTCAGTTTAAATTTGACATAGGCAAGGAGAGAATCTGGCCTGGAGCTGTTGACTTAATATCAAATATCTTTAGTCCAGAGTTTTTAAGATTTTCCCTATTGAAGTCAGCATCAATAGGAAAAGACAGTCAGCTAGAAATGTGTGAGAAAAAAATTACAACTTCTAGAGAGGAATCAGTATTTCAGAAGAATAAAGTTTACTCTGAGTCCCTGGACCAGAAAGGCACACAGATGTTGCTGAAGTTTAGGACCAGAGCCCAGCTTCATACTTTGTCTCTGTATTTCTTCAACATAGGACAAAGTGATGGATTTTATCAGTACAAGAGAGACACAGGTTGACTCTAACAGATATAAATAAGATTCTTCCTTAAGGCATCTGGAAACAGATCAACTTTGTACTTTTTCCATGCAGTGTGGTTTTCAGACACATGAAATGGTCTGTGAGACTCAAAACTCTTGAATAGGTTGCAATTTAGTGGCTCCTACCTGGATAAGAAGGCTAAACACTCAGAAAGGAATGTCTGGAATCTGAGCAAGCGGTCTTTGTAAACACAAGTTGGTTTTCTGAAGAACCTAGAGATGCTCATACAAATGGGCTGAACTTGGTAGTGGGTAAATGGGTAAATTCATGTTCTGCAATGTGGGCTCTGGTCTCACCCCATGCAGAGCAAAATGACATGGGCAAGATATACTACCTGGTAGATGCTCCTTTCAAAACTGCCAGACCAGGCTGTGCTAGATGTGTGAAGGAGCAAGGAAAACACAATGGGTTTTAGCTCATTAAATTAGAGAAGCCAGCTCAGTAATGATGAAGATCTTGTGAGGAAACACCAAGAACACTGGTCTTGCACAGCAGGAATTCTGACCTACTTGGAGTAAAATGAGACAACTGCTTTTGTAGATGAAAAGCGCTTAATCTTTACAGGATACAGTCATGGGAACCTTCTGATGTTTCTGTTTACCCCACCCCAGTCATGAGTTCTTCCTTGCCAGGACTTCTGTTCCTGTTAGCAGTAGCTCTGTGGAACCTCTGTAAAGCCAATGTCAGAAGAGGCAGATGGTTCACTCCATTTCTTCCTTAGTATTTCTCTTTCTGCCTTCTCAGCAGCTCCTTCCGTTCTTCTCCTTTCCTTGTGTTTCCTGACCTGTTTGAGGTTATCTGAGACTGACCATAATAACTACTACACACAGGGGCTGTTCCCAGCACCTTGAAGATTCTCCCTTATTCCTGCATTTAACTTACTCCCAGGAGTGAAGCAGACCTGAGATTGATGCCTCTGTTTTCTGCTCAGTCACATTTCTGTGGCACTTTGGGAATCTGAGTTTCAAATGCAGGTGGGCAGTTGCAAGCTGGAACTGATTCAGAAAAAGTTTCCATTCCCTCTTTAAGAACTGGATGAATGTGGATAGCCTGACTCCATGCAGACACAGGTCCACATGATTTTGCTCCACATCTAACACCTTCCCCTTGCCTTGCCCTGCTTCTGCAACCATCCCATGTGGCGGCTGCCTGGCAAGAATGACAGAGTAATTCATTGTCTGGCTGCTGGGGCAGCTTCTGAGGGGCCAGTGGCACCTGTGAGTGCTGAGAAATCAACCCCTGGTTGCACATTTGACTGCCGGCTCAGAAACTGTGAGGAGAGGAGACTGACTGATGAGAAGTGAGATGTGTGCAGGGCGTTGTGCTCTGTGAAATATGGGATCCAACTGTGGAAGTGGATTTACCCTCTGCATGTACTTGAGGTGTGACTGAGTCTCCATACACAAGGCCTGTGGCTCAGTGCTGCTGGATGTATCTTTGCACTGCTCTTAATGAACCCTGAGCTGCTTTCTTCCTCCTGTTGCTCATTCAAAGAAGACAGGCAGGAGGCAGGCACAGCAGACTGGACGTGCAGCTTTTCAGGCCCATTGAAGAAAAGGAAAGACAAGGAAGAGTGCAGAGTAAACAGGCTTTGATGAGCTTTGCTTCCAAAAGGAATTAATTGAACACACAAGACCTGGCTGACTGACTCAGTAGCAGAGGTCCACTGCCTACTCTGCTGTAAGCACCATGTGAATTACTGCCTTTCCCCTTATTTTTTTCCAGTTTTGTATTTTCTAGCTGATTTATTTTACTACCTTGTCTTTCCCACCTATTTCAGCTTTCAGCCTAATAATAAAAAAGAGATTTACATGTTCATTCTCTACTTTCATCTCCCAGTTGCTCTCTCCACTCCTCTGCCAGTAACTTCAAATTTGTTTGCCAGTTATGGAAAAAATAGAGATGTGAAAGGCATTAACTTGGCATTAATTCCAAGGCTTCAGGAAAAAGAAAGCACCATGCTACAGAGATCACCAGTTGCCTTGTTTGGTTTGCCACTGGTCAGCAACAACCTGTGTGACTTGGAGCAAGACACATGCAGCATTCTGCCATGCACTCAGCCACTGAAAAGCAGGAAAGCAAGCAGAGGGAATGGTGAAGGAGAAGGTGAACCAAGGGAAGTGGGACTTAAGACATGGCGAGGGACATGAAATGGGAAGCTAGAGCAACTGCAGGAGAAATCAGAACATGGGATCCAATTTAATGAGAGATCAAGATGCTGCCAGCACTACTGCATGTTGTTTGTCTGTGTTCTTCATGTAAATAATGAAATGTGTTCAGCCAACACATAATGATTTTTCTGGACTCTAAGTAAGAATTATCGTACGTTCATCCAACATCACTGATACAATACCAGTGCCTCTTGTGGAGTATGTCGACTTACACCAGCTAGGTCCACTCCATAAGCTTCATCCTCACGGGTCCAGGGTTTGCAACCCTGAAGGCTTTCTCTGTTCCATTTCTAATCAAGTTTCACATCTATTACAGGAATGCCCCTTCCCCCTCACCTGCAGTAAGGCAGTCTGGTAGATTCAGAGACACCTGGAATCGGAGCCTTTGCTCATTATGAGCATTGTAGAATTGTCCATTCTGGGAAGTTCAGCGCTGATCTTTCTCACACACAGCACAGCAATCAAAGAAGAGCTCTGGGAGACAAATCATATATGGATAAATGATTCCCCTCCTTTGTGCTGTGCAGCCTGTTGCACAGAGCAGTGATTATACTGAACAATACACAGAATTTCATTCACCTTTGGCAAGATTCAGCCTCACCTGGGGAGGTGTCACACTAGTGCTTCCAGCATGCCCACTGCCCTGAGCAGTGGTGCATTGCAGCTGGCATCTTCCATTCATCTGAGGAGCAAAAGCTGTAAAGCGAATCCTTTGGTGCGTCTCAAGGCTGCCCCCCTTGCAAAATGAATCCCAAACCTCCATTTTTCAAACAAATTACATGGCTAAATTGTCCTTGGCTGGGCAGTCACATCTGTTTTAGAATTGTATTTAGCCAAATAAAAGGTGGAAGGAATTCATCCAAGGAGGGGAAGGAAGGGAGTTTAAAAAAAAGGGGAAAAAAGAAAAAAGCTATGTCGTTCAAATCAACTTCAGCCCACTGACTGTTTTGCAGTACAGCTGAGGTCTGGAATCGATTGCAGAGTAAAGAATTGGGCTTTTTGCTCAGTTTTCACTTCAGGCTTCTGACCCTTGCTCAGAAGAGGAGGGAATGAGTAGATTGAGATATTAAATTCCCTTTGGTTATACCCTGAAAGGAAAGAAGAAGGCATGTGCATCCTTTCTTACTGTAGCCATCTTGTGTAGCTGGTGAGTCACTTGAACTCACAGAGGTAAAAGGAATTATTCCCCCTTCCCCACAAAATGGGGGAAGAGGTGCTTTATGTTTTCAGGAAATAGATGCTCTATAAAAAGGAAGGTTTAAGGGGAGATGCAGTCCATTGTTCTAAAGAATCAGTTAAGTATATATATGTAATGAAGTATACTTTGTAGGTAATAAAATATAGGCAGGTGGTATGAGGTCACAAACAATTTTGTTTATGCACTCAAAAAAACAGGCTTTGTTCACACAGATATGCAGCATTTTTCAATTATTTCATTAATCAAGTATTGAGGCCAGTTATTTTCTAATCTCTTCCAAAGACGTTAAGACTTTTTTGAGTTTTACCAGCCAGTGACCACTGTCTAACTACTGGCTACTGGCTACTGCAGAGCCTGAACTGATTTCCAGTCCCAGTTAGCAGTGGTTTAGATCAGGTGGGACAGCCAGCACAGCATCACATCAGCCTGGAGTTATGTTTCTTTGCAACAGAAGCAGTCCTGTCATCTGTCACACTGGAGAAGCTGTGCTGGTTTTTGCATTGGCGGGAGAGTCCCATGGGCAGGGGTGACTTTGGGAACTGGGCAGAATGGTTGGTGTCATAAGAGAAAGCTAAAGAGTGGGATAATCTTGTTTGGCCCAATACCTAAGGCCAATAAACACTTAGCTGGCAAATGGCTGCTGTGGAATAAGCGGTCCCTGACACCCAGTTGTTTGTCATCACTCTGCTGGCAGCAGCGATTTCCTCCTCCCCCACAGGACTGGCCTCAGGGATCACTGATTCACACCTCAGTGCAGCAGCTGATGGTTTGGATTCAGAGGCTGACAAATGTGAGCCAGTGCGAATGCTGCCCTTTTTGCTAAAGCATCTGGCTCCTGCTGGCAAGGGCTGTGGACTTCATCAGAGGGGCAGGAAGGAGTTGGCAGCCTTAGTCTTCCGTAGCTGTTGGCTACACAAACCTGTGTCAGTGCTCCAAGGGGCAAGATAAAACCTACACAGATGTGGAGGAGGGAAAGAGCAAATGTGACTCATACCATTATACAAAATGTCATTTTCGTTGTTCAAGGTGACTTTAGAGAGGAGCTAGCAATAATACAGAGAAACTTGGTGAGGAATGGTTCAGGCTACAGATCCCAAAAATCGTGCTGAAAATTCAGAAGCATCTCCCATGAGAACTGGGGTAAATTCTTACAGGGGCATCCCAATAGAGCTGGAAAGTCAGATCCAGCTGTTCTGACTCTGTCTCTGGGGTCTGTATGACATTGCATCTGCACATTCTTTCCATAGTTCATGGATATGAACTCTCTCTTGTGCATTTTTGTAATCCCTTTGTGTATTAACATTGAAGGTTGTCACTATTTGAAGAATTCCCAGTGTTGTATCAGTGGCAAATCACACCATGTTCTTGCTTTTAACCCACGTTTGTCCCTTGTCTTTTGGTAGAATCAGCCCTCCTCCCTTTCCATGCTGGACTTGCTCCACGTGGCCCGTGACATTGCTTGTGGGTGTCAATACCTGGAGGAGAACCACTTCATTCACAGGTAGGTGAACACAACATGGGCAGGACTTGCATACAGGCCAACACAGAATCTTAATGCCCTGCTCCATATGTTTATGTCCTGCTGCACTCTAGTGGCTGGATACCTTTAAACAATGTGGACAAAATCAGAATAATAGGAGCAGTTAACAGAAAAGCTGCTATAAATCAGGTTGGAAAAGGCCTGTATATTTAACAAAAATCCTGAGCCCTGTCTCAGTGCCTGCACTTGTGCAATCCATTTGGTTACTCTGCAAAGGGACACAATCTTGTGACAGAAGTCTTTAAAGCTCTCCCTATCATGAATTTTGCTTAGTGCCCCTCTGCTCATTCTGGAACCTTTCTCTTCCCCTCTCAGAGAACAGCAATACAAGTACAGCCAGAAGTTCAACACCTTGTGACTGTTGTTATCTGCTCCTGAAGAACAGGGTGTTTGGCAAGCATCTAAAATTGTTGGGTAGAGATGAGTAGAGACGTGGTAATTCACGGTTCTGAAAGAGTCACCCATAAGGTGTGCCACTGTGCTGTTCAGATCTCAAGGTTTACTTCAGCCCAGCAGAGGTGGAGCTTGGAGCTTTACCTGCATACACAGGCCCATAGCTTCAGCATTCAGAGCAACACCTGCACATTGTTGTACCTGTCTCTGACAGTGCAACAACCATTTGACAACATTTGAACAAGCACACTAGGAACAGATCAGTGGATCATTCCCCAGACTAGTACATTGCTGAAATCAGCTCCACTTCTTGCACTCCTTAGAGACTTAAAAACAGCTCCTGGGGTGAAGGAAGGCTCTCAGGAGGCCCATCCTTTCAACTGAAAGGTGTTATGTGAAGTTTATAGAGGAAATGTTAAAGAACAGGACTGTTCCTGCTGAGGGGGGTAGATTGGAATTAGAGACATCACAGTTAGCCATAAACACTGACATTTCTGTTGTGGGCTCTCTGAAGTTCAGGAAAGTAGGTACTATTCTTTGCTTTCTTTTTGACTTTTAAAATTGTCAAATGATTAAGTGGTTCTTCTCTTTCTGTTGCTTTTCTTCTCTTTCCCTGTAGGGATATTGCTGCCAGGAACTGCCTCCTTACCTGTCGAGGGCCTGGGAGAGTGGCTAAGATTGGAGACTTTGGAATGGCCCGGGATATATACAGGTAGCAGAGCTAAGCCCAGGGTATCTGCAATTGGAAGCTTACTAAAACGAGGGAGGAGCAGTGTCTGTGCAGAAGAGCAGGCTCTTGTGCTGCTCTGCATAACCCTAGCAAGGCAAGAGTGGAGACATCCCACTCTGGTGAATCCCAGCTAATGTATTTCTGGTGTTTGCCTTTATTTGTAGTTTAACTGTGCTCTGGAGACTTTTTCCACTCCTGACAGCTTTCTCCTGGGCAATGAAGTCCAATGGTCATGGAAGGTGTTATTCCTCCCTCTTTTATTCTGTCCTCAGTTTCTTTTCTTTGCTTTCTCCACATCCAATGGCATTGATGTGCCCTTTTGTTTTGCGGTCCCAAATCATTCTGAGTTTAATCTCTCTCCTTGATGCTACCCCTGCACCTTTGGTTTCGTGTCATCAGTAAATCTTCTCAATTTACTGCAGCTAAAGGAGGAAGGTGCAGAGGAAGGTCAGGAAAATGTAATCACCCAAACTGGAATTCAGCCAAGACACAGGGTTAACTACTCTGCTCTTGCAAGAAGTGCCAGAAAATCTTTAATGACCATAAGCAGTCAGGGCTGCAGTTTGATATCTCATCTTCCATATAGCACCTTTAGAAGTGCAGCACCATATCCTGCTGTGCTGAGGAATTGATTTGCCCCTGACTCGGAAGAAGGAATGCCTTGTGCTCAGTCACCCGCACTGTTTATTCCAGTGCCTTGCCTACTTTTTTTCCTGCTTGGGGATTCTTCTGGCTCTGCTTAGCTTGAGATCTGACAGTATCACAGCCTGAGGTGATGCAAACAGAGTGCTACTTTCAAAAACGCAAGAGTATCAGCTCTGATCAGCTTGGGGGTTTTTCCCTCCTCTCCCTTGACAAAGAGCCCCCACGCTGCCCCACTGTCAGACAGGGGCTCTGCTGGGACAAAGTAGCATCTGTCTCTCTCACACAATCAATAGAACCAACTGCCAAGATGAACACTTTGGTGCTGAGCTTTCAAAGGTGCCTTTGAAGTCTGCACATGTTTCTTTGTCCAGGAATATCCTTTGGATGCTCAGGCTGTGTAGTTATGATCAGTGATACCAGCTTGCACAAGCATCCTTCCGCAGCTGCCAGCACAGGATTTGGGGCTTGTGGGTTTTATTTAAAATGACAGCGACAATAAAGGACTGTCTCGGAAGCCCAGGAGGTGGTTTTTGTACTAGTGCCCCAGCTCTAATGGCCAACCATCCTTCTCATCAAGCTCCTTGTTCTTACAAAGGCTTTAGGATTTTACTTGCAGTGCTTTAGGCTGGGTACATATTGGATAGGTTTTGTTTATTTTTGGTGGGGATGCTCAAGGTGACCATGTGGGAAATGAGGTCAAGATCTTGCTGTGGTTGAAAAGGGCGGGGGATGGCTCTGCCAGCAGCAGTTACTGTTTGAGTAATTCACTAGGAATATGGACACAGATGAGGATAACTGATTCACCAGATCAGGCCTGAAGTGAGGTAGATAAAACAGTCCTTCCATTGCTTGCCCATTTCCACTACTTTTGTGAGAAGGAGCAGGTCTCTTCAGCATTTTCTCTGCCATACTGTTCTGCCTTAATTAGTCTCTCCTCTGGCTCAAAATTTTAATATTTGTAATTATAAAATTCCCAAATCAATGCCATTTTCTGAATTCTTGGCTGACTCTTTTGTTCTGTTTGTTCTCTGCAGAGCCAGCTACTACCGGAAGGGTGGGTGTGCAATGTTGCCTGTCAAATGGATGCCTCCTGAGGCTTTCATGGAAGGGATATTTACATCAAAAACAGATACATGGTGTGTTTCCTTTCCTTCTCTGTCCAGTCTGTCTGTGTTGTAACCCTTTATGTAAAGGGTTAATATTTTGTAAAAAACACATGTTCAGATTCATTTCTCATGTACTAAAAGCTGGGTTTTTCAGAGTCACTAGTGTTGGAGGGCAAAGCAACCATATTTACCTACCTATATCCTAGACTTTACTTACTTAACAGTCAACTACTAGTATTTATTAAATGTTTCAAAATTCACTGTTACAACTGTGCCACTTATTTGTGTCTGAATCCTGCAGCAGGGATTTGCACAAAGGCTGCAAAGAGCAATGCTGATGGTACTGAACCTAGGGGCATTGCCCACCAGTGATGGTCATTCCTGTATCCTTCACTTTATTTTCCTTTGCTTCTGTATTCAGGTCTTTTGGTGTATTGCTGTGGGAGATATTCTCTTTGGGATACATGCCCTACCCTAGCAAAAGTAACCAGGAGGTTCTGGAGTTTGTCACCAATGGAGGAAGAATGGATCCACCTAAAAACTGCCCTGGCCCTGTGTATGAGATGTTAACTTTAATATATTCATGCAAAAATTTCTGCTTCAAATGCTCTTCTCTAGTCAAAAGTTAATTATTTGTAAGATTGATCTTATTGTGGCTGATCTGTTTTATTGAACTTGAGTGCCAGTGATTTCTCTAATATCTAATTTTTCTGTCTGTTTTGGAGAATAATTGAGGGCCCTTTTGAGAATTACTGGCCACTGCTTGTTTGGTCAAAGATGGTGCAGTATTTCTGTGTCTTGGGTTAGCTGTGAAACTTCAATGCATAAGACTGTTCACAGATAGGGAAAACTGGGCTCCTTTATCTGTAGCCCTGCCTACCTTTAGTGAATTGTCCAAGGGATTTTGGGGGGTTGAGTTCTTTCTCTGATGGGCTGTGGATTTTACCCCAGTGGTGGTCACATTTCAGTGGCTACCAGTACATCAGTTGTCTGACTCTGGGGAAGGCAGAGAACTCTTATTTGTTGGAAGTCAGAATGGTGATGCATGCTTATGATTTCTAAGCTTTTATGTACCACAGGATCTGCTGTTCATAAGCATCTCCTGTTCTGCCCTTTCAGTTACCGCATTATGACCCAGTGTTGGCAGCACCAGCCTGAAGACCGGCCAAATTTTGCCATAATCCTGGAGAGGATTGAGTACTGCACTCAGGTATGGGTGTTCATTCATCTCAGAGGAGGTGGGTGGAGAGGGTTCTTCTTGAGGAGAGGTCTAGACAAGCCAGAATACGAGACAAGAAGGCAGCACTGCAGTAATGCAGTCAGCAGTCCAGAGAGCGATGCCACCCTGGGAACAGTGGCTGGGATATTCATCTCATTGGATGCTGGATCCATCTTATCTTTCACTGCTGAAAGGCATGGGCTTAAACAAGCTTACACAGCTATAGAAATAGCACACCAGTAGCTCTTCTTCTGCTTGTAAAGGCACAGATTCCAATGAGCAAAAGAGCTAAGACAGGCCAGCACCTGCATGAGTTTCACATGCCTCGTCCCAGCCACTCCATCCCAGTGTTTACCCTTAAGACATAGTCAACACTGAACAGGAATGGTCCCAGCTTAGAGCACCCTTTGCAGGTGGTTTCAGCAGCTGTTAGCAATTTTCTGAATCTGCCAGTGCTGGAGAAGGCAGGTGGAAACAGCCAGGCTCAAGGAGTGGGGATTCTAAGGTTGGGCAAGGAGGGGGAAGGATGTGGCTGGATTTCCAGGCTGAAATCGGAGTTACTTAGTTTTTACCACCAATTTAGCTTACAAGAAGTAGAGTAGTTTAGAAAATGTTTTGCTGCCTTATCAGCACAGGCTCCTTGTATGGCCTCACTGTTATTTGCCTCAGTCAGTTTGCTTTCCCTCGCTACTCGGGAAGGTTGGTCTGTTTTTCATGTGTGTTTGGATCCTTCGATTGGGAGGCATTTTTTTTCTGCTCTCTGTAGCTTGCCACGGCATCTAGCAATAATTAAAGGCTGCCCAGATCACCACATTTTCTCTCAGTTTAATTCTCAAAACTGCATAAATGGCTCATAACCACAATCCCTATGGATTTGGGCTTCAAGGGGTCTGCCAGTATTGCCTTCTCTCTGCATTTCCATTCCTCCCTCGTTATATGGAGGCAATACTTACATGGCTGAGACTTTCTCAATATTATCTGAGAATGTTATGAACTCTGAGATGATAGATTCCAAAACAACATTCCCACAGGAAATTTATCTGGACATAAAAAATATTTTTCATTGGTTTTGTACCTCTACTATTCTGTGGTGAGTTTTAGGGTTGGGTTTTTATTAAGAGTTGGATTTTTAAGGATATCCCATTATATCTCACAGTTAACTGCATTTTGTCTGCATCCCCTACACGTGGAATATGGGCACTAGGTACTGGGAATGATGCACTGTGGTCATAGCATGACAGGTGTCAAATGTGTCAGGTTTTTATTCAATGCATGATGCCTACAGACTTTGAGAAAATCTCATTGTTCTCTCTGGCAGGATCCAGATGTCATCAACACCGCCCTGCCAGTAGAATATGGCCCATCAGCTGAGGAGGAGGAGAAGGTGCGCCCTGACGATCCAGAAGGAATTTCTCCTCTGTTGGTCTCCACACACCAAGACAGAAAGGATGATAAGCAAACCCTGCCATCTCCACCACCCCTGCCATCAGCCATCACTGCTGGAAAATCTCTAGGGAAAGCGCGAGCCTTGGAACAGCCAGTGCCGGGGAAGGTGCCATCAGCCTCAGCGGGGGGACATATCAACATGGCCTATGCCCAGTCCAATCCCCCTTCTGAGCTGCACAAAAGCCGGGGCTCCAGAAACAAGCCCACCAACCTCTGGAATCCAACCTATGGTTCCTGGTTTGCGGAGAAGCAGGCCAGCAAAAACAGTTCTGTGCTGGAGAAGGAGAGGCACGAGAGGGAGAATTTGGGACAGGAAGGAAACTGTACTGTGGGGCCCAACATTATGACTGGCAGGCTGCCAGGCTCCTCCTTGCTATTAGAGCCATCTTCCCTAACTGCAAGTGTTAAAGAAGTGCCTCTCTTTAGGCTTCGCCACTTCCCCTGTGGGAATGTCAACTATGGATACCAACAGCAGGGCTTACCCTTGGAAGCCTCCACGCCACCTTGCGCTAGCACTTACGAGGACCCCGTCCTTAGAAACAAGAGCCACATAACCCAGCAGGGGCCCTGAGAGCCCTCAACCCTCTTGACTTTTCCCCCTGTGGCCCCTGAGCCTTGAAGAGATGTCCTGTTACCCAACACACCACGAGCAAGGGATCTGACAGCATCACCTTCTATTTTGTGCAAACCTGCTCCGAAAGTGCCACCCTTGCCATTGTAATTTCAACCAACCCGAGAGGCTTCAATCCACCGGAGCCCCAGTAGAGTGAAAGAACCAAGGGGGAGGGAGGATGCAGATGTTATCTGCAAGGCCCAGCTGCTGTTGCATCAACTCATTCGCATGGTTGTCGTCATGCCCTTCCCGTGAGCTTTTCTCAGTTGTGCGTTCTCTGCTTGCGTGTCAAAGCCGCGGCTCACTGCCATGAGTGTTCCATGTCCAAGGTTTTCCATGCCAAACCTGTCGTTGCTGTGGAAGACCTAGAGATCTCCTGCAGCTGGCAGATGTTGTAGTGGGTTTGGGAAGAGCATCCTCTATCCAAACCGAAAAAGGATACAAGATGCACTGAATGGTGACGCGATGGCACATGTCTCAAGTTGTGTTCCAGCTACAGTCCAGTCTTCGAAAGTCCTTGAATGCACAGCGGTTATGGGGGTGCTGACAGGGCAGTAGAAAGACACTGGTCACACTGCATCCCTTGAAAGAGAGAGGAGAGGAAGCAGAGCGTGGGTGCAGATGCTGTGAGGCATTTGGGGGTTGGGAGAGGCATTGTTTGCCTGGGGATTTTTGTCTTGTTTTTGTTTTCCTATGCTTAAGCACTAAAACTGAGTAAAGCCCTTTAAAATTCCTTCTGTCCTACAAAAGTAGGAATGCCCTTATCAGGAACTTGTGCGTGTCAAGCGGAACCAAGGTGAAGCTTTAAAGGACCATGGTCATGACAGAGACTTTCACCATGCCCTGGAAATGGACAGCCACCTGCATACCTCAGAGGTTTACTATAGCCTTTGACATACCCTGTACGAATAACACCAGAAAGGCAGAAGACTACATCGTGCCACAGTCCAGACGCCAGATACTGTCTGTATTTGAAGGGTTTAGAGCCCTTGTCCCTTTAACAAAATACATGTATGATAGTGGTTTAAGGACAAACACTCCATTGACTCACTTTGTACACCTTGTGCATGAAAAATATTCCAGTTAAGTGTATTGTCAAAACATAGATGTAGGAAATAATTCATGTGTAAAGATGTGCATTAGTAACTTCAGCTTAGGGTTGCAAGGAGCTGTTTTAGCATGAATGCTATCCAAAAAAGGGGTGCTTATTTCCATAGAAATGGATGTACTGGAGCATCAGCAAAGGAGTGTGAAGGTGTTCTTCAGTCCAAGACTCTTCGTTTCAGTGAAGTGAATCTGAATCTGGCCCTGGATCCAAATGCTGAGGTAAGCCTCCTGTCTTCATAAGGGAACAAACCAGAATCCACATATACGTACTCCTAAACTTTGAGATGCGCAGAATCAAATCGGAGGGCTTGGTTTGGGCCACCCCCCTTGTGAAAAAACACATTGAGGGGAGGGAAAGAGATGCTGTGCTCTCCTAATCTGTCTTTCTGACTTCTCTGATACACAAAACTAAATCGTTTTCTAAGACAGATGCCAAATGCTGTAAGCAGGGTGGTGGTTTGTTAATAGGCTGTGCTTGAGTCAGGGGCTGCTGTTCATGTGCTGTGTGGGTCTGGCAGGAATAAGGAGGGTTGCTCTTACAGGCTTCCCTAGGTTGAACTCAGAGAGTATTTGTCATCTCCAAGGTTATTAGGCTCACAGCTCTTGCCATGAAATAGCCACTGGGGAGGGATTCTGTCTAGCTTAGGACTGTGTTAGTGTCACACTAGTGTCTCTCTCTAGCTCAGTAAACAAAAGGGGGTAGTTTTTAGAGTCTCAGGAAAGCTGATTAATTCAGGAGGCAAGCACTGCCAGAAAAATTTCTTACACTAGTATATTATTCACATATAATAGCAATTTTCATTTAAATATTCCAGCTTTTTCATTTTCAGAAGAGCTGAAGCTCCTCATTGTTTTCTTTAACATTTCTTTGCCTAGGAACACGCTGAGTTTTTGCTGCCTTACCATGTTACTGAAGGCAGAAGCTGACCTGTATACTCATGAGTGTTTTTAAAGAATACACAGGAACATAAAGTTGCTAAGTTAATGATCTTTGACTAACTGAAAGTATTAATTCTTGGGTCTGAGGCAGCAGCTTTGATGCTGCACAAATACAGATAAGCTGCCAGGTTACAATGTTAAAAAGGTGACATTTCTAAAGAAGCTTTAAAAGCACAAGCAGCAAGAGATGATTATAAGTTTGTAGGGGTGAAAGGGAAGCTTTCCCAGCATGGTGAGAGTGTCTCTGAGCTTGTACTGTGCAGTTATTTTATAATAGAATTTCAACTGAAATACTCTTACAGAATGGGAGTTGTAAAAAAAAAAATGAAGGAGCTAAACACCTTCCTGCTTCTTACCTATGGAATATGTCAGGAGATAATTCTGTTTGGGGAAATGGTGAATTACTACTGAAATTCTCCACTCTGCTTAGTACAGTGCATTGAGATAAATACTGTTCAGCACTGGCAGTTGGTTTTAAGTGAACTTCCTTCCAGTGTCTCCTGTGTAAAACGCTTTGTTGTGGGGTTTTGTTAGGGTTTGTTGGTTTGGGGGGAGGGGGTTGGGTTTTTTCTTGGGGTTTTTTTGTTTGTTTTGGGGGCTTTTTTTGTGTCAGCTTTTGTTTGTGTTTGGGTTTTTTTAAATCCCCTTTTCTTAATTCTTGGAATTCAGAGGAATTCAGAAATTCAGTTTGGGCTTATTTTTAATATTAAAGACGCAACATATCAGAGCTACTCCACACCAAGCATTTAGTTTGTTACCCCTTTTTGCTGTCCAAGCATAGTACCCCAGGTTGCAAAAATTTTTCTGTAAATATTGATGCTAATCAAATCTTGTCACTCAGAAACAAGGGCTGTAGCATTTGCCTGCCCTCCTTCTCTTAGAAAACAAATTAATTGCCTGGACCAAAGGGTGCGCTGCTGCTTGTGTGCAGGCTGCATCAAAGAGTTTCCTGGTCATTCTGCAATTCCCTTGCTTAAATTTAAGCATCTGTCCTGTTGCCAAAAGCATTGCCAGGATTTCAGTGACAGTGCAAGATCTTATTTGCATCACTGGGATGATCTGAAGAACGCTTTTCTTAATGATCCCCCTTTCCTCTGTCCCTCTGTGCACACTCAGGCACTATCAGTTACTGTATGATCTCCAATTAGCTGAAGGGCTGACAGGACATTTAACATGTAACATTTAGCCATGTGAGAGCTGCAGTTGCAGTGCCAGTTTGCCCTGAGCATTTTGTCCAGTCGTGAACCAGAAACTTTTAATTTCTGTGTCTAGAAATATCCACCTGTTCAGTACTCAGTGCTGCAGGGAACGAAGGGGCTTAAGTCACCACGGGCTCACCAGACCAAAGCACTCTGGATGAGTAAATCCCAAATTCCTTTATCAAACTCCTCCATGCTAGGCTTATAGTGCTGCAGAAAAACAAATTCAAGTTATTTTAACCTTCTTACTCATTTTTGCCTGTAACTTATTTTTTAAATTACAGTTTATTGACACACTGTATATTTTTTAAGGAACTTGTTTTTAGGACTGTTAATCTTTTTCATTGGTGATACTGATGTTCTGATATATATCTTCCTCATTTTACAGTGGAAAAGTGGGAAGCAGGATGACCTACAAGATGTAAAGCATGACTGGGAAAAACCCTGTACTACCACTCTTATACTTGGAAAATGGCTTCTTTCAGGATATTGCCTGTTTCCTATAGGTTTCTGCAAGCTGCTGGAGGTAAACTAGGTTGGGATGCCTGTTTCTTTCCAGCTGTCCCGTCATCTTCCCTTTTTGCTACTGAACCTTGTTTCTCCATCATGTGCCTGGAAATGAAGCAAGGGAAGAAGTTTGGTTGGTTCTGCTTCCCCGAGGCACAGCAAAGGAGTGGTGGTGGGAGAGGGGCTTTGCTGTAGCGAGGGGAGGTGCAGGTACCACAGGTTGGAAGCACAAGGGCTGTGTTAATTTGGCCAAGTCAGCCTTGGACAGCGGTGTCAAACTGCTTTGGCTTCCCCCTGCAGAGGCTCCAAGAGCAGCTGCAGCACCTCTGGGCGCAGTCACTGCACAACACAAAGGGTCTGAAATAGGGTGTGATGGGTGTAACTTTGCACGTCTGCTCCTGTTACTGCGCCTGTCTTCTGGGTGACGAGAACCTTGACACAGGAATAGCATAAAACAGCCTTCCACAGCAGCAAAGACATGGCCATTTGTCTGTCCCAGAGTTAAACCCACCACAGGAAAATGTCCGAATTGTCTGCATCTGGCTTTTTTAGTAACAAGCTTCATTATAGGAGTGTCTGTCTCATGTACAGCCGTTTATGCAACATTGTTTATAAAGGAAGGGCCTGTGCACTTCAGGGATACTATGAAGAAGAATACTAATATATGGTCATTGAGTATTTTGTATTGAATAGTGTATTTGTATTGTAAACAAGTGTAGTGAACCACAAGGCATGAAGACAAATAAAATGACAGTAGCTGGCTTTCTCTGTGTTGGGCTGTGCAATGATTGGATCGAGGTCAGAGGGAGGTGTCTGGACATCCCTTTTTCTTGGTAAAGTTGCAGAAGTATTAAGGTGACGGACACCCAAAGGAGTTGGTGTTGTGCTACACTGACCCAACCACCTTTCAGGAGAGCAGCAGCTGTTTCAGACTTCTCTGCATTGCAAACATCATATGCCAAGTGTCTTACGAAGGTGCCATTCCTTCTGTCACAAAGCACCAAGGTTGGCTACTACCCACAGAAAACTGGCCAGTATAAAAGGAGAACAACGGGAAGGGTTGAAGAGAGCATTGGGGTGTTTTCATTCCTAAATGTGTATATCCTATTAAGACAGCCTTTTTCCTTGAGTCTGGATATAGACTGGGAGTAGATCTAACTATAAGCTGTATTTTAATACAGTGGAGTGCCAGTATTGAATCCTGTGACATGAATCCTGTGACAATTCTAGGAAGAGGTAGTTCCTTCCCTGAAACACTTTTTTCCCTTCCCCCATCACTCCTATGCCCTGCATAGATGCATTCTCAAGAAATGGTCTTGAAATTAGGACTGACTTATCTACAAACTTTCTCCTTCACAAGCTCATTCTATTGCAGGATAGTGCTGTCGTTTGGTAAACAAGACTTTTTTCCTGAGCAGATATCTTGTAGGCACCTCTCTCTCCCTGTTTCCCTGCCACTTTGGTTCCTCTCCCTCTTAACTGAAAAGGGAGCTCTTCTGTGCTCTTCTAGGAAGAGACCTGGTCACCAGTCAGCCACATAGACTGTTTTGGATCTGGCATGGGTTGGCAATCTTTGCTCTGATTCCCATTTCTTCCAGAGTTGTCTGTCTGTGACAAGGCAGTGAAAAGGATGCAGGTGGGTGCTCCACTGTGTGGCTTTCACAGACACAGTTTCAGTTTCCACCTGGTGTATGACAAGGCTTCTGCAGAAAACTAAACTCTGTAAAAGCAATGACATAAATGCTGGACTTGCCACCTAAGGAAAACCCTTGCAGGTAACAGAGCTAACTTGTCAGAGGAACCAGGTTATGTCTTGCAAATCTGCAATGCCAGTCTTGGATCCTTGTGCCTCAGACCTTGCTGGCTAGCAGCCCTCTGAAAGCACAGGCTCCCTGCCCAGAAAGCCATTACTGTCAGCATCTGCAAAGCGATCACTGAATCTAATTGAGCTGAACTCACTAGAAATGAATCCCCCATCCTGGGATACCTCAAAAAAGTTCTCTTTCTCCTGTCACACACACCTGTGGCCTTTCCAGTGTCAAAAAAACTTGAACAATTTCATGGATAAGAGCACTAAAGGACATTTTCTCTAACTAGACCCCAGGGACATGCTGTGGGGCAAGGACTAGCCTCAAAGTCCACACAGGCAGCACAGAACTGCTGGGGACCATCTGTTTATTTATTTATAAATAACATAATATTTATGTAGTTTATTGGGACTTTGAGGATCTTTTTCTACCAGTCTGGGGCTGTGATAGTCAGTCCTCTGCACAGCACCAAATTCCAAACTTCACTGCCAGTTATTTTCAGAATTTTTTTTAATGACACAGTCCTGCAAGAATTGGAGGAAAGGATTATGGCAACTTACCTTGGATTTAGGGAAGCACAAATCCCTTCACCTCACCAACCTGAGGAGAGTAATCCTTTCTGGAATGGACTGATTTATTTCTGTTGCAGGCTGCACAAATTTACAGTGCTTCTTGCTTCCTTGCAGAAGATTCTCAGTGCTGCCAAAACATCACCCTGATAACAGTCCTGCTCCTCTAACCCACAGTGCTCAAGCTGATTACGGCCAGAGCTTTCAGGAGAAATGTGCAGCTGGCTGAAGCTGGAATGGAAGGGAAAGTGCACCACACCAACACTCAGTTAGTATCTGTGCCCTCTTCTGTGCCCATCAGACAGGTCCACTGAAGTCCTGCAGCACTCACTAGCCCAGGCCACTGAGACCCCACTTCCAGCCAAACTGGGTGTAGCTACAGAGCTGTGGAAGGGGCAGCCTGACACCCTCGGAGAAAAAAATAAAAAGCTACCAATGAATCAGAAAACTATTGTAAAGATGTTGTTCTTATATATTACTTCATCTGTGCAAGACAGACCACACAGAAATGGTGTGACTATAACAAACTGCCTGAGCTTGCTGTTCACCCACACACTTGTTCCCATACCTCCCTCCTGAAGAACTCCAGCTACCCCTCAGATAAAGCAGTTACACCCATTCCATCTGCTCAGTCAGGAAAAACAGCATTCCTGATAATGAGTGTCTCATCACAGGAACTCAACTGCTCACCCAGGAGCACCAGGGTGTGACAGAACGTGCTGTGCAAAGGCTTTGTTTGAAACTGGCAGTTCTGTGCAGAACAGCCAGAAGACACAACAGCTTCTGCTTTACATGTGACAGTTGCTGTTCCACATGAATCCCGTGTGCTTAATTTGTACATAAGAACAGACGTGAGAGATGCACATTCTGTAATGACTCAGTGAAAATTCTTTTTTTGCTTTTTGCTGTACATTATTCAACAGCGTTTCATTTTATTAATACCAGCAAGAAACAGATATCAGACAAAGTAAAGTTCAGTACATCACTGAGTATCTGCACCTGCAAATATAAAGCATTGCTTTTTTTTTTTTACGTTCAAAATTTACAGCTTTTATATTCAATTAAAAATTTCCATAAGTTAGAATACAATGTGCATTATTTTAAATACGGCTCAGGAAAAATAGCTACAGCAATATTTAAAAGAAGGTTACAGCAGCAGGATTCTGTCTAAAAATAGGCTATTATGATTTAAAGTGTCACTTCTTCAAGTAGGCAAGAGCAAGCAAATCATTTAAGAGTAAAACGACTGTTCTGGAACACAAAACCATCCTAATCAGATAATGTTTACATATGCTGAGCAATTAAAATACATTATATGTTTAAAATATGGACAAAATATTAGCTGTTTTAAAAGGCTGATATGCAAATAATGTCACATCAAGGCGCATTACAGTGCTGTACCTAAAACTATGCTTAATTTATCATAAGACTTATAAGAAATTCATACTGGAAACTGTTCTAAAGGAAACAAGAAGAAACATGTATCACAAACAATCAAATAATGGCAACAGCTTGCTTGAAAACCCTGTATATGTTCCATACCACTGGCAGGAATTACTGTGCTGTATTTATACAGACCTAATATTTATGAAGAGGCTATTACATGTAATTCCACTCTGGGTTTATTTGCATTTCAAAACTGTGATACTCATTGCCTGCAGCACCCCAAACAAAAAGAAAGTCTCTAAAAATGAGAGAAAGCTCTCCAGGACAGTGCAAAGTGCATTATTTTAAAGAGTGCTTCTTATACGTAGCTCCTTCTACAAATGCACAACAAAAAGTGCTCTTTAGTATACAGACTGACATGCAGCATATTTGTGTTTTTTAAAGGCTTTTAATTTAATTGCTGCTGTTCACTAGGATAGCAGCAAATCCTTGTATTTATCAGCCCTTTTGCATTCTGGAGAAGAGGAGGGGGTAAGAGGAGGGATCCAAATGATAAAATGCAAAAATACTCCACAACTGCTTGAAAAAGAGGTCTTTTTTTCCTTTTTTTTTTGCTTCCTTATTGCTAGCAGCTGGTATTGGAATTGACAAAGTGCCCGGGAACCAGGCTAATGTCACTCATCAACCACCTCCGCTGTCAAAAGCAGGCAATGCACAAAGCATTACCAGTTCATTACTACAGGGAGAAAAACTGTTTAAATACTGCATGAATCACACAGGAACTTTAGAGAACGCTGGAGATCCTCGTGTTCTCTAACTGGAACGTTAGTCAAATGATGCAGCACCTTAAACACAAGATGCTCCTGTAAAAAACCTTCCAGGCAAGGGCCGTTTAACTAAAACAGAAGAGTGGTTTTACTTCCTAACACAACTGAACTCTTTATCTCTCTATTTTATATATATATTTATATAAAATATATATATCATATATATTATATACACACACCTACATATATGTATGTAAAATGCATACTCATATATGTAAAATGCAAACGCAGATTTAATAATTTCAAAATAAGTTCGCATTCTAGGTGGGGTTGGTTTGTGCTTTAAAATACCTATTTCCTCCTCTCTGAGCCCCTTTCAGCTCAGCAAATATCATCCACAAGCTTTGCCCCATTAATCCCACGGTAGGTTACTCTGCTAGGTCGAACTAGGACCCCGTGGTTCAGCTTACAGGTGAAGTAGCGCTTTTCCCCCACGGAGCCGTCGTTCTTTCCCTTGGCACTTCGGAGTTCCAGCCCGACCCATATCCCCGGTGCAAAGTCTGTTGGACCAATGTACCTGATGGTCCCCATTTCATTGGAGCTGGTCAGGAGAACCTGAGAGCCCTCGTGCAGCTTCACGGGCCCCTCGGAGTGAGCTGTAGTGGTGCTGCTCCAGCTGCGCCGCAACACGGAGCTCTTCGATCTAGTTACAAAAGAAAGGAAAAAAAACCCCTTTTCTTCTTTTTTTCCTACAAAATATCCAGGGCAAATCTGTAGTTCTGTGAAGCACATGGGAGAAAAATCTCAAATCCCTTTTTTTAAAAAAATGGGTTTAATCTCAAGTCACTAACAAACCATGAAATAAGAGTAACAGGCAGGTACACTTGGCAGTCTGAAATACTGGAAAAGCAATTTCCTTCCACCCAATGCTGGGATCTACAATATTTACAGGAGGTGATAGTATTGGTAAATTAAGGCAAATGAAACATTTTATTTGGGGCTTGAAACAACTTTTAAGTGCAAGTGTCAGTCAGGATCACCAAGACGAAGTGAAGTCCTTTAACAAGACCCTCTGAACTTCATCCAGCTGTGTAAAAATACAACAATTTGGAGAATATGCTGTGATGAATGACTGGAAAACAGTTTTAATGCCAACCTGAATTCAAGGACTATACTCCTGGATACCTATGGAAAAATAGTCTAATACTGGTCTGTTTTGGAAGAAAAAAAATGAACATATAAAGGTCAAGATATTCTACATGCATAAAGATTTTCTTTTGAGCAAGAAACAGTAAAGGTAACAGCCTGTTCATCCAAGCACTTGAAACTCATAACACTCACCTAACAAAGGAGTTTCTTCTGTTTATCTCCTTTTGTGAAGATGCAGAAGTGGTGCTGAGACTGCGCCTAAAACCTAAGTGGAAAGATTAATAAGCTGTGTAGGACTTCTTAAGAAAAAAAAAAACCTTTGTGAACTCACATTCTTTGTGTTTTCTTTGTGTTTGCTTTTATACTGCTTCCACTACATTTGCTACACATTCTCCCCTCTAATTTGGAAATTAAGTGATGAAACTTCTCATGAAAGTACACGTCCATAATACGTTCAGATTCTTAGAGGGGACAGAAATTAAACTAAACAAACCAAACAACGGTAATTTGAAGCAGCCTTTTCACAAAAAGCTTTGTTAAGGAAAAAGAAAAATACTTCAAATATCTTACACAAGTTTTAGTAATTCCATATGGACCTCACCCTACACTGATCCCTTCATCCATCTCAATTTAGATTAAGGAGCAGGTTCAATTTCTGATTATCTTTGATTAGAATGCAATACAGTAATAAGGGAAGACTGCCAACAGTCTTAACTCTGACATAATTATTTCTGCCAGTAGAGTGCTAATAACAACACAGTACTCCACAGTTCCTTCTGCAGGCTACATTTTTGGGAAGGGAGCAGCCAGACTATTGCCTGGCATTTGGGTTCCTTGAAAATTTACTGTGCTTCTAAGGAAGTTGGCTTTGTGCAGTAGGTTCTGGCTGTAGAGTAGTGCCTGTGGGAGGCTGCCTGAGCCAAATCACAGTGCTTTTGGTCCTACCTGGAAAAGTGTGATTCATTTTATTCCACGAAGTTTCTGTGAGAGAGTCCAGAGAACCCGTTAGTCTGAAAAGCAATAACACAACAAAGAAGTAACTTCAACTCAACTCTGTGAACAAACCTACTGACTTGTCAAATATTGATGAAGTTTTGGTTTTCTCCCCTTCTCCATCTGCCCCCTCAAGAGATACCAACATTTCTGCTGCACTCAGGCTGGTATGTAAGAAGTGCCTGGAGCAAATTGGTTTATTTGAGTTACTTGCTTTTTATTCATCAAGACAGCGCAGATAATTTTGAGGCAAGTTCTTAACAGTTTGCCTGAGCCGGTATATTCAGGGAAAGAAAAGTAAGAACATGTCTGGCAAAGTAACTACATTACAAATGTAGGAGGAAAGAGCACTGAACTCCTGGGATGCTCTTCTTGAGAATAGTATTTCCAGGCACGTCTAAGGGCAACTTCCTTTTATAACTGAATTTAGCTGAGTGCATCAGGATTGGGTCATGAAAGTAAAGTGTCACGAACACAGACTGTCAGAGACCCTGGAATAAAAACACCTCAAGTAGCTGCAAGAGAGATGCTGTAGCTGCATATCCAATTTATACTCTCATTTCAAAAAGCTGATCTAAAACCCACTGGGTTTTTCATGAAGGTTATAAACTTCCATTAGCAGAAGAAAACATTTGTATCTTCCATACCCGCTCAAAATTTTGTTGCCCACTGGAAATGTAAGAAAGCATCTGACAACCCAAACATTAAAACAGCTCCAGTGCTTACCTCTGTACACGAGATGGTGGTGCAAATATACCGTATCTGGGAAGACAACTGAAGTACTGCACACCGCCCACCGAACCATCGTTCTTCCCATGAGGCTTGTCCAATTCAATTCCACACCAAAATCCTACATTTCAAGACAGTAAAATCATGGCATTTTGAACAAAACACTACAGGCTTTTCTTCATCTAGACAGCTGGCACAGTTGGCATTCACCTACATCAAGGAAAACAGTTTCTAGCTGAAAAATGTCTAGATAATAAAAGTAGATATGTGTATTGTAAAATAGCTATCTATGCAATTATGCAAAAATTACACCCTATTGAATCTAAATATAATTATCTCAGCATTTTATATGCTTTCAAGAAAATCACTGACATTTTAATTGCTATAAAAAAGGTAAAACCTTTGAGATACATATATCCATATATATATATATACATCAAAGATTTAGTGTATGTATACATATATATATGTACACTAAAGCCAAATGCAATGTTATTGAATGTAACAGTGGCTATTTGACAACAAGGAGACAGGAAAGAAGAGCAGTACTTCAGGTTTCCCTCTTCAGTCCTCTGACCACATGGTTTATGCCTCATCTGAGATCATCAACAGTAAAATTAAAGTTTTTATATTAATTCATTCCTTCTCTCTATCTAGCAAGTTATAATTAATACAAATTGCAAGGCTGGTTGTAAGATACTGAGAGAAGGGTGTAGGAATCAGAACTGGTCATCAATTAATCTCGTACAGAACACTGAATAGACATCAAGATGTTAATGAGCTTGATCGTTCATAACCTGTGATAAATGTGAGCTAATTACATAAAGGTGCTAAATTTCATACTCCATTAGTAGTCCTTATGCTATCCATCCCCAAAAGATTCAAAATTTAATTCAAGTCACTTGGTACTAAGGCACTGGATAAAACAGTAATTCTAATTATCAGCTCAAGAAACTCAGGAATGACAGCTTATGAATTAGAAGAGCTCAGTACATCAGCTCTCCCCTTCCTGTTTTTAGAACCAAATAAAGATCTGCATTGCAGCAAAAGGAACAAAGTTTGGATAACCTCCAGAGCTCTGATACACATTAAAATTGAAGTACTTAAACATGCATCTGTTACATTTTCTATAAATTGCTAGGTTAGCAAATGGTGAAGATCAGTCATCTTTCCATCCTCACTTCTTACAATGCCATGTTTTCCTCCAAACATTTCGTTCCTGATTTGAATCAGAGAGGGAGGAGACTTACACTGTCAAACAGCTTTCTGGTTTTACAGTTGTTATAGTGTATTTGGGAACCAGTCCTTTTCTCATTGTGATGACTTACAGTGTTGCTCAGTTAACTGCAGTAGCTTAAGCCAGGACTGCCTACTGAAACTGGGGAAAGGGGTGAGAATGAAAACAGTACCACAGTCTTGCATTCTAACTTTTTTTTTTTAATACTGATGCCACCAAGTGTCACAACAGAGTATTTTCCATCACCTATCAACCAAAAGGACCTCACCCAAACTGGGTTCTCACACCAACACCTACCAACTGGTTTTGTGTTACTCTTGCAATAAGATTATAGATAGGGTCATAAAGAATATAAATCTGGCTACAAAAAAAATAGTATTCAGAAATTAATTTCCAGAATGTAAAGCAACTGGCTGCTGTGGAAAACACCTGGCCTCACTGCAAAGTGTTTTTTAGCTGGGAAAGGGAGAAGCTGAAAGGGAGAAGGATGAGAAAATGGTGGTAGGGGCTGAGGTTTTCTGAGATGTTTGTAACTTTATTGGTCCTGTGACCAAAAGGTTTTCTCATTAAGATTTAATTGCTCATAATGACCATCCTAAAGATACCAATAAGTTAAGAATGAGATAGGTACACGGTACAGGAGTGCCAGTATTGCAAGACACAAGCTGTGTCAAAAAGCTTTACTACAAAAAGTAAGGAGATATGCATGTGATTTCAATAAACTACATACCCCCTTGGAGACTAAACTGAGGATTTTCAGAAAGCTTTGTTAAGAGTTGGACTCGATGATCCCTGTGGGTCCCTTCTAACTCAGCATATTCTATGATTCTGTAATACCTACAACTTCAACATTAAAGTATTTCTCCTAATTAAGCCATGATAGTGGACAAGTCAAAGTCACATTTTAAACCATTATTTTTTCCTGGCAAGTGCATTGAAAGTAAAAAATATTCAGTGAGACACAGGAGAGAGAAAGAACCTGGAAACATATCAGCAAATTTAGAATTTTTTTTGGAAGGAGTGAGGAAAAAGATGGAGTTCTCTTAATGTTCATGTGCTCACATGTAAGCTATTCTATATTAATTCTATAACGGAGTATTGCAAATACCTGGTGCAAATTTTGTTGTCCCACAAAATCTAACAGTGCCTGTTCTCTGTCCCACCACCAGTACTCTGTCTCCAACCTGAATTTCTCCATCAAGAGCATTTTTTCTCATAGTCGGAGTACTATACAACCCTGGTCAACAGAAGAACAAGAATGGAATTAGTGACATTATATCTTTAAAGCTTAAGAAAGTCTTCAATAGTGAAGATTGTTAAACTGATTGTTAAACAGAGCATTTATCTCTAACACAGCGTACCTTTAGCACATGACAACACATCACAAATTTTGCTTAGACAAAGACTTGCTTTGTGCCAGCATGAAAATTTTCTCTGCTCTGAAAAGTCTCTTGGAGATGTTAAAAAAAAAATCTTTCTAAAAGTTGCCAAACTTAGGTTCACGGTTAAACTACTTCACGAGTCTCTTTGTTGAACTGTCTCAGATTCTGAAACAGCACAAGTAGTTCTACATGAGCACTCAATGCAGCAGTACACTCCCACCTGTGAAAATACACCTCAATAAAACAGACTGTACCAGCACTAATTTTGGATGAGGCAGAAGACACTCTAGTCAGTGGCTTTTTATTGTTGCTAGTTGAGTTCCGCTTCTTGGAGTAATTCCGTTTGCCTTCCAAGGACGTAGTAGAAGAGGAAGAGCTGCTGTACCCAGGAAAACCTAGAGACAGAAATGAAAGTAGTCCTTCAGGGATCATATCTGGAAAAGGACGGATTAAGTAGAAGGAAAAGCTTCTGTAATATGGAAGTTATCTGTTCTCCATACTGGGAAGAATACACAGTAAAGAGCCAAAATCAGAAGTTTTTAAGCAGCATTTACACAAACAGCTGTCAGAACTGACATGGGTGCATGTGTGACCCTGCCTTGGGGCATAGCTGAGTGCTAGAAGAGGTCTCCAGAAGCCCCATCTTTATTACTCCATAAAAGTTCATCTAAACAGTCTCAAGTATATTCATTAAAATATGTGAGCCTTGGCAATAAGAGATCATACTACCACCCTTTCAGGATCCAGCCTGTTAAAGATTTGATGAGAAGTGGAAGGAAGGTGATACTATGTGAGTGAATTATTACCTGGATTAAAGCCTACTATATTCCATTACATACTGTATTAATATTAAAACCTGTACTATAAAACAAGAATGGGAAATAAATCACTTTTATCTCCATTTGCAAATCCTAATGTCTAAGCTGTCCGGTAAGACTTATGTTCAGCTTTCCTCTCCCACTTCTTCCCTCTCCTATCCCCTTCTGCCCAAACTGAGGCAGGGTACAGCAAGACACATCTATGCCTCAGCTTATCAATGTGAAAAATTAAGATAATATTGCTTATTAAACTTTCTAGAATTCTGAGGGGCTTAATTCATTAGTTTTCCCAAAGCACCTTGATATCAACACTGGGTTAGTGTGGTCAATATAATTTAATCCTCCAGTTTGGCAAAACAGTAAAGAACTGCAGAAAGGCAAATGCAGTGGGTCAAAGCAAAAGCTGGGCTATCTGGGACAGAAATCTAAAGACTCTGAGATAGCAACTGCAGCTATGCTACAATGAAGAAAATGCAAATAACTAAATGACTAAACAGGGAAACTTCCCAGTCCGAGGTATAAATACACGCGTGCGTTTGTGAACACATACTAGAATTCTGTATGTAGAAGCCAGTCCAGGGATGGATTCACCAGAGGTCAGACTACCTAGCATTTTTACAGGGATGCAACAAAAACTGCTCAAACTAAACCAGTCATCAAGATACTTCATTTTGTGGGAAATCACAGGGGGAGAGAAGGAAGAGCAGAAAGGACTTGAACAGGTCCTTTAACAGATTTATCCCCTATGAGGCAAGAAACTATTTGTTATAACACTCCTGGGAAGCAAGTGTTTGGCTTGTTTTTAAAAACCTCCCATCAGGGAGATCGCAGGATTTCTTCAGCAATATATTTCACCACATAATTATCTGTAATGTTACAGGGTTTTTTCCCCCTAACATAAAACCTAAATTACCACAGTTTTAGTTCAAGGTTTTTTACTCCTGTTAACACATGCAGAGTGAGTTATACTGTTCCTTGTATTTGAAAGCTTCCAGTTTTACGCCTTTCATCTTCCGTCTTTTTAATCACACAACCACAAATTAAAAGTCTTTTCTCCTAAGTCATATTTTATACCTGCAGTTATTGTTGCGTCTTTTCTGAATTCTCTCTGAATTTCTTTCTGAAATGCAGCATCTAAAACTAGATGTTTTAGCTGAGGCTTTGCCTGTGCCATGTAAAGCACCCAGGTCCCTTCCTGTACCTCATGGGTGACCCTCCTTTTTGTACATTCCAGTTACGTTTCCCCTTTTGCAACAGCATGACATAGATGATGCCTGTCATGATTTACCTTATCAGACTGAACATTCTCAGGACCTTTTCTGCAAACTATCACTGGGCATATCATTCTGAGGGTGTATTCATACAGCTGGCTGTTTCAGCCTTGCAACAGAACTTTGTAGTTGTCCTTACTCCTCTCCATGTTTTTTCCCCCCTGAGATCATTTTTCAATCTGTCAAGGATTTTGGGAGTGTTCAGGATTAAAATAAAACAAACAAACAAACAAACAAAAACAGAACAAAACCACCCAAACAAAACAGACTCGGCACAAACCCTAAGCTGAAACAGCCTTGTTTGACAAAGAAACACTGGTAGCTATTCTGAGTTGGATGTTGGATTTTCCTAAAGGTTCTGCACCTGCCTTAAAGCAGTATCATCTGAACAGCTAAATCCAAAAATGGGCCTTTACTCCACATCACTCACAGCCTACAAAACCTCTAGAGTCCTAATTGCAGATTTCTTATTGTATCCATCAAACTGAGACACTGTACTGCCAATTAAGTTTCACTGCAGACCAAGCCATTAAGTGCCCTCCATAAACAAAATGTTAAAAAACGCATGTAGGCAGAGGTTTCCAAGTTGTCTCTGAAAAAGTATCACATATGACAGTGCTGAAATACTTTATACTAGGCTCTTCTCCTCTGTTCACTGACAGAGGATGCAAATGCTTTTCTTGATAGAACTGCTGGAGTGAGTCCAAAGGAGGCCACAAAGATGTTTAGAGGGACAGAGCAGTTCTCCTGTGCAGAAACGCTCCTGTGGAAGGGCCTTTGAGCAACCTGGTCTAGCAGACATGTCCCTGCCCATGGCAGGGGGACTGGAACTAGGTGATCTTTATGGTCCCTTCCAACCCAAACCCTTCTGTGATTCTATGATTCAAAGAAGGTATATTCAAACTTACACTTCAAATAATTTCAAAGAAATACTGTTTTTACCACCTACAGTATGATTTTATAAAAAAAACCTCAGAGGAGACACAACTTTTACAGTTTGCTCAAGACACAGCTGAAAGTGAGGTCCCTTCATGTTTAAAGTTCAGCAAACATAGCACTGATGTAGTAGAAGTCACTATCCAATTCTGAAACTAGATTACTGCAGAGAATGATTCACATGTAAAAGGAACTCTTTAAAAAGCTAGTTTCATTTTTCATATTTGAAGCCTGTTATTATGAGTCTGCCATGACACACTGCCAAGACTGTTAGGCTCTGTTAGATGGCAACACTTTATTATACAAGATTGAACACACAGATGGAGAAGAGAATAAAAATGCCAACAGACTATTAAAATCTAGGCAGTAACGATAGAGGGCAAAAGGTCTCCCTCAGACACTCACGTAGGTAATTCTGCAGATCCTCTGTAAGATCATTTACTAAGAGACAGCTTTCAGCTTTAGGGGCTTGTCCATGTTCTTGTCCATGTATTTAGACAGAAGTGGTTACCAAACCAACACAGAACACCACATCCACACAAATTACTCTTGCTCCTAGAAAACTAAATGCATACAGCCTGCTTGGGACGTGAAAATAAACAAGCAAGGCAACTTTTTTCTATAGTGTAGATACAGGGCTTTTACAGCAGTAGGGCAGCAATAATACTGCCTCTGCTGTGCAGAATTTTTCTTAAGATGCTAAAAAAATTTTAAAAATTAGTTACCGTCTTTTGCAGGTACAGTTTTTCCCCTGTTAGCAGTCATAAAGTTGGTTTCAGAAGCACTGTCTTTTTTTGCCATATTTAGGCCTATAAAAAGAATGTATACAATTAGTAGATATATATATATCCTAACAAATAATTTTACAGGAAAGCCATGTACAAAAACAATTAGACAGATTTGAAGACTACTGGTGGAAGGAAAATTTGGATAAAACTGTACAATTCCTTAGACTCTTAATAAATAGGTAAAACAAGACTGCAGAATTGCTTTGATGGATAAGCACAGATATTAAACCCCTTAATGCAATAAACCAGTCCAAACAATCTTGCCAAAAAATAAACAAATTGTCTGTAAAATATTAATTTTTATATGGAAGGAGTTTTACTAACATCTTTCAAACATTCACATCTATAACATTCACTTTTATAGTACTTAAGGTCTACTATTCACCAGTATGAATTTCACAATTTCTGCATTAAAGATTACACATAAAAGTTTTGAGAGAGATTTGAGATCAAATCTTCATTCAGACTGCAAATAATGATGTAAGCATGTCAGTATGATTTTTAAGAGCCTAAATCTTAGAGCAGCAATGTTGTGATAAGCGTAGGAACTCGTACTGTCACCCAAGTTATAATTTGTGAACAGTCATTTTGCATTTCTGACAGTTTCCTACTCTAACTCAATGAAGAACAAGCTTATCTATGATTTATCCCCTCCCTGTCATGAGCGAAAAACCACCTCTTTTTTATTTAACTACATCTCTCAGCTTAATTCGGCCACAAGGACTGAACTAGTTTGAGAATGTACTGTATTTTCCAAAATTTTATGGTTCAGCCATTTAAGGTAACAGATCAAAAAACTAGTGTTTGTGACTGATAATACATTTCTCAATTTTATCTCAGTAATCCTTTTCCTAAAAACTTGAAAAAACCTTTTCTCATCAATCTGATGGATTATTCAAATCCAGTGGAACCAAATAAAATTTTTAAATCCCTACACAATATTATATTTTACTTTGCAGCTTATAACCTTATCTACAAAAAGCATATTAATTTTTCTTGGATCATTACAAACCAGTGTATTGCAGGGATGAAGTTTCAAGGAAAGAGATGTGACCTGGTGATGCACATAAACACTGCAAACCAAAGTTCTGCCTCTGCAGCTTTGTCCTTCTCCCACTCCAGCCAGGGAATCAGCCGGGCACGATAATTCTAATGGACCTTTCTACACAAGAACTCCCTGCAAACAGCAGCTTCCAGATTACTTACATCCACTGGATGCAAGCTCTTCTGGGCAGATGATGCATAACTCACTCTGATTTCTACCTAAAGCAAGGAACCAAATGCTTAAATTTTACAAAGACACAAATGCACCTTTGTGACAGAAAAGGTGGTTTACAACTAAACCGTCCGGAACACACCGTCTGTAACGAAGGAAACAGTCCCTTCCATTATAGTTTAGTGGGTTACAGTTCACAACAAACTGAATCAAACACTGGAAAATATTTAACAGAAAAAGTCAGCTTAGATCCGCTCCTGAGCGGTACTCCCAACAAACCGATTGTTCCGAGATGCTTTTCATGCAAGGTGCCCGTAGTAGCTTAGATCTTGTGCTAATTGTAAGTACACACACTTAAAGCTTACTCCCCCCTCAATCTATTTGGAGAAGAGTTACATAAGTCATCCAAAATGCTGCCAAAATGCATCTCTTCCACCAGCCTGGTGCATTATTTCTATACCCTGTGTATTACTGATAAAGTGTGTAGTGCTTTAGGGTGCTTGAGTATGAGAATGTGTATTATCTTCCATCCCTTAAGCCGTGCTGCCTTAGTATGAGTCACCTAAACAGGGCAAAAAAGGCAAAAGAAGTGCTAATGTAATATTTAATGACACTGTTAGGTAGCCAGCCAGACACAGGGGCCATATTATGCATGGTCAGCACTGCACTCAGCAGGGAAGAGCCCATACTCCAAACAACTTGGAACCTGAACAGTCAGGAAATATGCATCATCCACTCCACAGGGAGGGAACTTACACAGAAGGATTAAGTAATTTGAGCAAATTACTAAGAAACTAAACCAGAGCCAGGGACTGAGCCTGTAACTCCAATCAGTAAACCAAAGCCTTATTACAAGGACAACCTTTCTCTTCTAATTTGGCCTTGGTTTTACTCAGATAATTTAATTAGCAGATAAAACACAATCAGCTAAATAGTTCCTTAATCCTGTTGCCAGAAAATAAAACTCCTCAATTTCTAGACATAAAGGTGTATAGATTATTTTCTAAATTTTTATTTGTTTCAAATTACCCAGGAACATCTCAGTAAATGGAACCACATTAAGCTGAGACACTTAACTGGTATCACATCCAATTAGAAATCACTTTAATGGCTCAAGAATAAATGTTGTGGTGAGCTTTTTTTTTTTAATAGAGCATGTAAAGACTAGAACCTGCCATAGTACATCAGATCACTAAAATGACTCAACAGCTACATACAACGTCCCTCCAGTACCAGTTTACAGTACAGAGAATTTCTAACAAGAACACGGAGTTAATAAATACCTTGTCACCTTCTCATCCCAAGCTACGAACTAATTCCAAACAAGTGTTTTTATACCAAGATTTACTAATTTTTGAAGATTAGTATCTCTCTATCCTGTCTCCACACACAAGAAAACACTCACCAGAATTCACTTTGGAAGTTATGTGTGTCACATCTATTTTCTTGGATTTGACCAAAGGTGAAGACCGCAAGGAAGAACTTCGTACAGAGCCTTTTTTGTGATCAGAAGCCTTGCTTATTTTGGAAAGAGGTGCAAAGATACCTGGAGAGAAAATTGTATGTGCCAACAAAGAACCATGGGTAATGTTAATGTAACAAAACTTTCCAGCTACTATCTCTTACACCAATTATTTTAGGGTTTTTTGTCAGCCACGATCATAACTTGCTGTGCTGCCAGAGCACTTGTAGGGTAGGAAGGACAAGCTCAAATGCACAGTGAAACCAAAATCCTTATCAAGCAACTTGAACAGAGTAATTCAGGAAGTCAGTAAGACTGTTATTTACAATCTCCTTTTTGTCCTAAGAGTAACATTGAGTCTCCATTGTTACAAAACACGAGACTTTGTACGTCCTGAGTGTCCATGAAATATCAATTAAAATACCTCAAGCTGAAAGTTAGAAAACAACTACAAGCATGAATGTCTTAGCAAGGAAGACAAAGTAGATAACGAAACACGGCCTTTATCATTACAACACAACAACATTCAACAATATAGACCGGAAACCATGAAATACTATTATCTTGTAGTTTCAAGGAAATAACCAGAAATTTTGACTGGTTGGTTGTTTCAGTGGTTTTGCAAATAGTTGCAGTCAAAACAATAAAACAGTTAAAGGAATCCTTAATACAAACAAACAATGCACTACAAAGAAAAGGAACAGGATCTATTATCTGTTTTTATTCTCCCAAAAGGTTCATATCTTCCAACATTTTTTTAAAATTTGGTTTTTTTAAGAATTTAAGAAAAAAATTAAGCTTATACCGCGTTTTGGTGCACACTTGAAGTACTGGACTTTTCCAACACTTCCATTGTTCTTTCCCTCTGGTTCATCTAGCTCTACACCAGCCCACTGGCCACTGGCAAATTCCGTTGTGCCACAAAATCTTAAGGTACCAACCTAAGGCAAAAAGAAGCAACACAGAATGGTTTTGTCAAACATGTATCATTCATGAGAATATGGTACAGGTCATGAAGGAGACAGTAAGTCATCTCCAAGCTTTTGATCAGAACAGAAATACAAACACAAACTCTCTCAGCTGTAGACATTCCCACCTTTCAACACCAGTCAACGCGTTTTCCAAGACGTTTTAGTCCTGTTCTTCTATTTTGTATCAAACAACTGTGGTTACAGACAGATCTCACAACAGATATTGAGACAGAAAGCATCACTGTACAATACAACTCCAAGTCAGCAAGGTACAGGAGCACATGCCCAATGAGTTTTACTTTCACTGTGTTCCACAACAACAATTCCAGAATTATACCTAGATACATAACAGTTTATATATTTATATATCTATTGCAAAGATTCAAGGGTAAACTTGAGAGCATAATTAATTTTTTCCCTTGGAAAAGATTCCTAAGTCTTTTATTCTTTCCTTATGATTAAAGAAACTCTGAAGAGCCAGCAAATGTTTTAAACATTTGTTGTTGCTTCAATCTGTATTATAAACTCTGAGCAGATATAAAGAATATCAAGACAGACCAGTCTTGCTGGTAGACCTCAGTCTCTGCAAATATACATTTTAAGTTCACACACTTCAACCAAACGGGGGAGGAATAACTAACAGAGATGCATTTAACATTGATTTAAATTCATTTTTATATTAGATTTTTAAATTAGTTTTAGTAATAAAAACCTTTGATCTTTCAGGTTCTCAGTTTTCCTTATCTCATGTGAACTTAATATTACTAGTTCAATTTTGACTGTGACTTCACTGTTTAATCCATACCTCAGAGAGTAAATAGACAGAAACAATTTTTTTTATTTACCATAAAACCTTCCAGCTACTCTTTCTTACTGTTTGTAAAGAAATAAACATGACCCAGAGTCTGTTCTCTTATGATGAAGATCTCCTTTAAACTTAAGCATTATAGGCAGGGACATCACACTAATCTAGACAGACTTTTAAGCTCCCAACACAAGGATCAAATTCAGTCAGAGGAAGTTTGGCCAAGCTGTCTCACAGATTCATCCAATCCCTCCACTTTCCAGGCACCAGCCAAAGGGCACTTACGGAGCAGAGAGAAGAAATCAGCCAATACCTTAAACCGGAGGTGGAGATGGCAAAACTAAAGCTCCAATTTTGCCCTAGGACTTGCACAAGCAAGGAGCAGAAGACATCTCTCACATGAGAAAGAGCAGGAATAGGATGACAGAGTTTTCTCCCAGCTGCTAGTCTCCCTGCACTCACATTTCATTGAGTGTCCATTCAGATCACATGTAATCTAGCACAGCAGGAGCTGCTGGAGCTGGGGGACCCCAAATCACATACACAAACACCTGCTTACACAGCTTCCTACCCTGAAAGACAACTTGAATGACAGGCACAGTAGGAATCAAGAGAGGAATCCATTTTCCCTCTGGCATCTACTGTGTTTGGCTTTCAAGCTTCATTAAAGCTGACATATTATGAGACTGCAGAAGCAAGAAAGAGAACGGGAACCCATAAACATTGCTCGTAAAAACGCTGCTGTTCCAAACACCCTTGTCCCAGCTTCCACATTCCGGGCAAGAAAAATGATCCAGGAGAAGGTTAAGAATGGGGAACCATTTTCATCATCCTGTTTTCACTTTTGCTCCACCCTGCACACATTTAGGAGTATCGAGGGGGAGGGGAAGGCAGGGCTGAGAACAACTTCTCCATTTAGACAAATGGAAAAAAGGAGTGGGAAGCAATGTGGGAGTACTGCACAACAGCTCCTTGCACAAAAGAAGGAAGGGAGGAAAGCTGACGTGGAAAAGGAAGACCAAAAGGCACAATTACATTCTTTCTTCCCACCTGCTGTAGGACAGCTTTGGCTCCCTTAAAGAAAAAAAAAAATCTAGCTGGAAAGCCCTGCTGGCCTTTGGCAGTGGCAAAGCAGCTTCCCACACTTGTAACACTGTGTTATACACAGCACTGTAACAGCATAATCAATTAGAAAAAATAAAAGTAACCAAACCCAGGAAGCTCTATTCATACTCACAGTTTGTACATTACAGCACAAACAGGTCTATGGGCCTTACTTGGAGGAAAGGTACACAAGAGCACTAATTTCATCACTTTCTTGCTCTAAACCCTCCACTAACTTGCAGTTACATTATCTCCCCTGGCTTTCACTATGATTTCTGTTAAAGAAACTTCTTACTGCCTTGAAAGAATAAGACACTTCCTGTATGTACTTCAGTTAAAATGCCTTCTGCATAGCTAGTGACTCCTTCACCTTTCCTGACCTAATTTCGACACTACATCAAATGAAAATACAGAATGGAAGCTGCTTCCCACCCTCAGTGGAGATCACTTCAGAACACTTCAGTCATGACAGTTACAAATCTGAAGTTATACTAGAAAAATTATTAAAGCCAAAGCTACTAAAAAATAAAATTTTGCTCACAAATGCCTTCAACATTTACCAGAAAAAAAAAAAATCTGAAATCCTTATAAGAGTTCTAACACTCTTAAATTATTTCAGATCCCTTGCTAACAGAGGAAATAAAAGGTATGAATACTGACTGCAGTATTAATGTTACAATTTTCAAATTCATTTTTTAAAATGCAACTATCACAGTAGCTTCTAAAAAGCTATTCACATTTGAGATGGACTGCTATTAGCTACATTCTCATACTTCCACAGAACCATGTAACAACCCTGTTGGCACAGCACTGCTTCAAAGATTTTAGCTGCATTGCACCAGTGAAATTGGGTTACTATAGGCTAAGCAGAACTGAAGTTTTTTTCACTGCCTTCTAGAAACTATCAGGGGTACTTCATGAAAGCACACTCATAACAAAGCTGGGCAACTCAGAAAATAATCTGTGGCTTTTACCATCATTTTGATGTGACACCAAAAATGTTAATAAAAGCTGAGCCTGTCAAAAATCATTTAGAGATACAAAATGCAGCCCATGCCTGTCAAAACTGCTTTTCATAGTAATGACTTTATCAAACAACTGCTCGGTTTATTACTTTCTGTAACCAGTTCCTTGCTGCCATCCAGAGTTCATACCTTCCACAAAGTATTTTAGACCCTCAAATTCGAGGTTTATCTCCAAAGGAGTAAATAAATTGACTCTCAGAAATTATGAGGGTAGGAGCAGGCTGGTCACCATACCTTCTGTCCTGCAATAACAACACGATCTCCCAGTTTCAGGCCAAGCGATAAAAGCATGGCCTTCCCTGTGACATGATCATAGTTTGGAATCATGGCTTTTGAGATGTCACATGAGAGAGGCACTGCATCCAGCAATATCTGCTTGATTTCTTTTGCACTGGCCGCCGCATCTGCCATTTCCAGTGGCATATCCACCGGATCAGGAACCACATCTGCTGGAATTTGCCCTTTGTCATTCTGTAGAAACATAACATAGCATAAAATTTAATGCTGTGACAAGATAAATCTGATTAAGCAAAACCATAGCATTTTATGAAGTGTTTAATCCTCTTTAATAGATATTTTTCCTAGAACATAACTATAAAAACAACCACATTTTCAAATAAGTATGCCAAAACATCCTTAGATAGATAAGCTAGCATGTACAGTATCTTATTTTCAAAATTGACAAGTAACCAACTTTTTAATCTTAAGAACATTATTAGGACTTAGAACACATAAAAACAAAACACCTATATGTATCTGTGTACCTGAACACAGATTTAAGAAAGCAAGCAAGACTTCTGGTCTGTAGTGCCAATACTGTAAAGCTACCTCCTCCCAAAGAATTTATCTTTATTCCTTGGTGAGGCTTATTCCAAATGTAAGACAGATTTTAATTAATATATGTTGCATGCACACAATACACAAATGTGATGGCCCACATAAATACTTGAATAAATCTGTTTGGGTTTATTTCTACACAGACCACCCTATGATAAACGAACTAAGGACAGAGTCCTTTCCAAACACTTCCCATTCCCAGAAAGTAGTGGTTGTATTCCTCATGTGTCCCACACAACAGGACAAGTTGTTGGAGCAGCAGCTCCCCCGGAGTTAACCTCAACACAAGGCCAGTTGCCCAGACAGCAAGTACTGTCAGGCTGTCAGCAAGTTCTACCTATGCTTTCTTCACCAAAGGCATTAGTGTGGATCTGCATCTATCTGCCAATTTTCACAAAGTTTGCAGAAACATTATTATCTCAGTCTTCAAATTTGTCTCAACTGAGCCACTGGACTCAAACATTACCAGAAGCTCAAAGAGGGGATGATGCAGGGGAAGATTTTATTTGGCTTGATTCCTTAAAAAACAGACTAGAATTGCAACATTCCCTGAGCCCCCTATCAATTTATCTCAGTGCTAGAAAATTATAATCCTTACTCAGCATTTACACTCTGCTGTTCTCATATAATCAAACTCTACACTGCCTCTGGCCAATACTTTACTGCAGGATTGAAGAATCAAACACCTACCACTCCTGAAAAATCCACAGTCATTCTGAAGCAAAAGGTGAGCCCCATTCAACTCACATGACCTTAAAAACAGGATATTGCTGGGTTACAGTTGAGGGGGGAGTTTGTTCTGAGTTTTTAGTCATCACATTAACGATTGTTTTGGTCGCATCAGTCACACAATTCAGCCCACCAGGTGCCCTTCAAAACTTTGTGCCAACACAAGGCAGGGGCAGAGCAGAGGCAGGAAGGCAAAGTGGAAGCCCAAGGGTTGCTCTTCTCAAGGGCAGAGCCACCTTTGCCAGCTCAGAATGCTTGTGCAACTATAAAGCAGCGTTCCCTGTGATCAACAGACTCCTAAACACACAGCTGCCAAGGAATTTGAAACACATACATGCACACTAAATAAGGAGACAAAGAAAACCAGCATTTTTAAAGAGATCTAGATTGAATGTCACGAAGAATTGTATGAACAATAATGTTCCAGAAGATTTCACACGAACGGGCTTACACAAAACAATTACTTTTGAGTACCCTCAAAACAACTATAATTTCTCATTAAAAAAAACCCAACCTGGATTTAAAAATGGAGAACTGAGATATTGTCTCTGCCAAAAAAGAAAAAGAAAACACTCCAAGCCCTCCCTCCCCAAAAAACCAAACACAAAAAACAATCAAACCCCAAGAGTTGTAGCTAGACACATATAGCAACACTTTGCACTATAACTTCGGCCTATTATTAGGTTACTAAGCAGAGCAGTTGATGTTTATGTGTTATCAGTTACTCATGCTAAGACCAGGCTTACTGCTAAGCAGTACACTGCATTTCTGGAGGGCACAGATTGCATTCCTCTATTTCTGAAAAGATCCACCACTGCCATGACAACTGTTGCAAGACACAAAGGAGTATTAATAAATGAAAGCTCAAACAACAAAGAGTAAGAACATCCTGAAAGCTATTTGAACTAATGAACTAGACTGTGACACAAAAATACAAACTTCAACACACAAGTATGACAAAGCATACAAAATCATCCACTATGAGCTATGAATATTTTTTTCTGAGGCACTCTCACTCCACATAACATATTTTAACTAATCAAAATCCTGGACAGACTGTTCAGTTTTTCCAGGCATTTTTTCACCTTTTGGTGAATCTACAACCTAACTCCTTACCCTAAAGGCAGGATTTGCTCCATGTTCCAGTAAACACTTGACAGCTCCTGTACATAGGTTAAATGCAGCAATATGCAAAGCTGTTCCAAAATCAAAATCACTACAGGTGGCATCCACATCTGCAATTAAACATCACATGTGAGGTGTGCAAATCTGTTACGTGAACATTTCACCCTACAGATGCCTTGAGAGGGCATTCAGGTTTTACAGTTTATGTTAACATTTATACAGAGACACCATGATTTACATACCAAATGCATATGAGAAGCAATTCTACACAGAATATCAACCTTATCTGCATCTGTCTACTCATATCATGAAACAACCTGGAAGATGAATATTTACTTTCACTCATTTTCTAATACTGATGCAACTGCAAAATTGCTGGTGTTCAGGATGTTCAATCTACTGTGCCAAGATTAACGAGTGACTTTAGGTTTGCACATAATTTAATGTTTTAATGTTTCAGAAACATTTATATTTTATTACTTCTAGGTGTCAAAATGTTAAAATGAGATGCATCTTCAACCAGTTCTTTTCCTCTGTGAGCAGGCAGTAGGGCAAGGGAAAACTGATTATATCTCTGCTGTACATTGATTCAATTACTAATGGCCAAGAACAAAGTAAGACCTGGTGATTTTTATAATTTTGTTGTTTTTAAAGAATTGCAGTCAGAAGGGTCTCGCACCAATAATTTGGAAAATGGAGCACTGCATTTGATTAGAAGAGATTTAGCATAATATATATTTCCATCAGTTGTTCCCGATATATCTTTCACTCTGCTATGAAGTTATTACTGTTCTACAAGATTGGAGTTTTAATGTCTGTTTAGTCTGAGGCTCCTCTCCTAAATTACACAAGAGAGATGTCATTTTGAGTCAATTATGTATATGGCTGTTAATTAAAAATTCCAGTTGATTTAGTACACAAACCAAAGGACAACAAATATTAGCAATAATGCTCCAATTTGAAATCCTGGTGAGGAATATAAAATTTTCCACCTCAGGGTTGTACAGTTTCCTAGTATTTTCCAGTATCAGTCTCTGTTCCAAGAGACACTAGCCCTTCTCAAATATAAGCAAAGTATATCCCATCTGTATCAACATCCTTATATAGTTATACTAACTGAACTAATTTCGGGGCAAATAAAACATCAACACATAGAGAAGATATAAAAATACATATGTCTGTATAGACATGTTAAGTTCACACATACTAATAAAGATCAACTCTGAATTTTATAAAGATCGAAGGTAACAAATTTGGGATTGAAATTTAACAGTTTTACAACTGGGCTAATTGAACACAAACTTAGCATGAAAAAGGACTGCATTCACATGCCTCAGTCATAATGACAGCTACGTATGCACATGTACGCCAAACGTCAGAAGACATTACCAGTTTAAAACCAAGTAGAAGCTGTGCAGCTGTATACAAGCATTGAAACTTCCACGTTCAATACGACTGCCAAGTATTTTCTGCACACACAGGAATCAACTTGCAGAAATACTGATCAGTAACATCAGCTACTGAGCCAGCAACTGTTGCATGTACTCCTACTTTACAAAATAACTGATGCCTAATTTTGGGGTTTTTAATCAGACTGTGTGACTTCCTCAGACTTGCAGGCTTCATGCTTAAGAATTTTTGAACAGTTCTCTTACAGCTGTGATCTAACGGGCACAGTACAGGTGACAAAAAGAAACACATAAGTATTAGATGTTACCCAGTAACTACTCACAAACTATCTGGAGGAACTTAATAGGCAGCAATGCTCTGTCATTAGTAACCCCTGCAGGTTACAGTCACTGTCTAACGGCACCCCAAAACGTTTTTAATTCTTAGACCTTTAACAATCTTTGTATTTAAAACCTCTAAAAACCCAAGATGAAACTATCGCTCTATTGTAACAACTGAGGAGTAAATCTGCATAAAGAATTTAATTGCAGAGCGTCATCAAGAAAATAGGTTTAGCAGTGAATCAAAGGGAAACACCTGTGCTCCACAATGGGTGTCTGAGCTTTAATATACCACTGTCTTGAAAAGTTTTTATACATTAACAACCATTTTTTCTCCAGTTCAGTATGGATCCAGCCAAAGCATATTCGCCTTCTACACATGTTCTCCCTTCTCTGCAAACTGCCTGACGAAGTACAAAGCTAAAATTATTCTTTTTATTAATTCAGACCATCCGCTGTTTTCGTGCCACAGCGCAAATAATTTTATACGTTTCCTGAGATAAAAAACATCGGCTGCTTATCCAAGAGTTGTCAACTTCTGAAAGGTTTAACCAGAGTGGTTTCCTTGGAAATGTAAGCAAAGTCCCACCCACCCCTTCTACAGGCACTGCACAGGAGGAGATGAGAACACTAAATGCAAATGAGGTCTGAAAGAAGACCTAAACTGCTGATGCAAATTACGGAGACCGGGCTATTGAAACGTGACGTGGACTTAACTACTGTGCAGTCTCATTCTGTCTTTTGTTACCAACCTACGTGTGTCACTTCTTAAGCACCGTCATACCAGTAACAGTGCTGTTTAACAATTACCTCCACGGTGATTCATGCCTTGTGTACTCCAAAAACCTACCAGCTTTTCAGAATTTTGAGACAGAGCCTCTAGGTACGACTAACTAAAAAAGGGCATTAATCATTTTGCAAAATGGCAAAATCAAAAGGATATTCAGTAGAACAAATTAACATTTGTACCATTTTAGTATTAAAGTTGCTTACTGGTTTTGATGTCCTGACCAAATTAGGAACAAACTGTTCTGGTTCAGAACCATTTCAGTATTTCCATTTGCATTAGTATAAATAGGGCTCCAATTACTAATCCTTCACAGTATCTTTTCAAAAGGTATTATCTCTTTATGCCAAACACTAAAGTCAACTATTCCTTACATATGACCTTCTACATAGCCCAGAAAATGGGCATGTCAAAATTTCCTCACTCCCTGGTTTTCCACAGGACACTGCCAAACCCCCACTTCTCCCTTACTCTTCTCCCAGCATGTGAAACATACTTCTCAGTGTTTAAGCAATCTTAAAAATCATAAGAATTTACCAGAATAGTCACATCTTCCATTTTCTGCAGACAGTCTCTTAGTCCTCAACAACTTAGAATTAATTACTTAAATTGATAACTTAGAATTAGTTTGCTTTCCATTCTATTTGAAACTTCTCTACCATCTTATACAAAGATCACATTTAAAAACCAGCAAGAGAAACACTGCAGTAAACCACTAAAAAACAGGTAAAGGGAAAAATGAACCAATGAGACTGACTAAAAGATTATGAAATTATTTATGTATAATGGATAAACAAACCCCACAATTAAAAGAGCACTATACACCAGCTTAAGGTCTACAAAACATGGACAACTGCATGAAATAAAGGTAACAATGCCTACCTTTTGGCTTTGCATTTTTCAAAATAACACTGATCAGTTCTGGAACATCAAAGTAGGCAGCATAGTGCAAGGCATTCATATTTGTCCAGCGGCTCCGTAAGCTGCTATCAGCACCCAAATCAATAAGCTGAGTGGCAAATTTTACAGCAGTTTCAACATCACCTGCAAGATAAATTGTGGAAAATATGCAATAGTGATTGATTTAGTTGACCTCAAAAAACATACACATGCTCATGTATAGCACAAAAGATCCATTAAACCCTTCAAGCTCACAGCAGAACAATTACTATGCCTTTGTTTTTAGGATTAGGATGCAGAAATCTTTGGCTTTTATCATAAAGGGCTGAAATCTCTACTACAGTTTATAATAACACTACTTCTTTTTCCCTAATGTAAATAATGTGTCAGCCATCAAACTCAGGAATTTTAGTATCTGATAGAAGAAAAAAAAATTACACATCACAATGCTGAAGTTTACATTAAAAGATCTGCCAACAGCAGAAAAGACAACCTATGCCAGACCTCACTCAAATTTACTTCAATCTCAGAGGAGAAGTGGGTTCGGGTCAACCAAAAAGTAACACAACATAGAAAAGCTAATAGGAGTACTCAAACAGAGTTAAATATGCTCTCATTTCCAGTATTTATGATCATAATAATGCAAAGTTTATTGTTCTCTTCTGATATGAACAGGGTTGAAAGAAAGCCAGTCACCTAAATGTTCTAGCTGCACTGCTGTAAGAAAACCATAGCTTAGCTTGGAGTTCTCACCTTGGCCTGAAACAGCCTTTGCTACATGAAATATATGTTCAAGCTGGTACTATTGTTTGCAATACCTATAATACCTATACACAAGCTACTCCCAACAGCCACAGCTGTAACTGTGCTGCAGTTCTGTACCTTTCCTTCTGATGGCCACTAGAAGAGACAAAACCAAGCACTAAAAAAAAAAAATCTACTGTAAATCAGTGGGATCACTCTTTGTGAATTAATTAGCTTTTTACATCTATAATGACATTTCTTTACTCACCAATACCATGAGCTCCTGATTTGCAAGTGTAATGCAAGAGAGTCATATCAGTCAGTCCATCTCTGTCATTCACATTGCAACCCCTTTTAATGATCTGACAAGCAAATGGAAAACAAGCACATTTTAGCTCTGGCATATCTCTGACATCAGTAGTTATTCATATGTTATTTCAGATATATTGACTCTTGGATTCATTCCAATGGCTAATAACAAAGAAGCCTGCCAGAACAGACTCTTAACTGCAGAGCTGACCAACATACACAAACGTAATAAATAATATTTATATCGTTATATATGCATATCATTAACCTTCATTATTTGCAGATTTGAAAGACTCTTTATATTATTCCCTCTAACATATACTTCACATGCTAAGAAGTTAACTGCTTAACTGAACAACAGGAAAATTACTTACAAAGCTCTCCCCTTGTTCTTTGATCTCTCAGTAATACCCACCCCATCCCCCCCATAAAAGCCCTCAGTTTTACCACAGTAGGAAGAATCTTAATTCTACTTCCACACCTGTCCAGAAAAGCCCATAATCCAGAAGAAGAAGAAAAAGAAAGTAGGATGGAATTACTAGAAACAAGATGTCTTCTGAAAGCAGCTTATTGTATGGTGCAAAAAGATTTCAGTTCCTATCTCATTTTGTGCCTTGGAAACGCTGCACTTAAGGTCATGCTTTACCCCAACTTCATATATTGGAGTGTGGGATTACTGATAAGCAGGAAACTGAAACACCAAGGTGAAGGGTCTCCACACAACTGTCTTGAGAAGAAACATTGTTTGTATCATCTACGCAAACCTACTGAATTTTCATCCATCATCTTTCTCTTTCCAAATAAAAGCTGACAACATGGAAAACAAGGCATGATCAGCCAGTACTTGTTAAAAGGCAGAAAGTGGATCTGCCTTTATGATTAGTTCTGCTTCTCAATGAACTGGTTTTATTCGTTGTAAACACATACTTAACACTGAAAGCATTCAAGGATCTTCATTTATACCTCACCTCATTCCCAATAATATCAATATTCTGCTGAACCTGTGGAACCCACTGCCTTAAGATAGCAAACAATTCAGAAACTGATGTTTTGGGGTCAAAAAGTATTTCTTGGCATGCTGCATCATTGGGATCGAAGAAGGAAAACTCTGTCAAAAAAAAAAAGGAATCATTATGTGCAATCCTGAGTTTTAACATGCATCTAGTTTTTCAAACTCAGAGGCAAAGAACAGCAGAGAGAGTCACTTTACTACACATCACACTGTAAGAGTCAGAATGCTGAATTAATTTAGAAATTTTTTTTAACATGTGGCCTAATCCTTTAATATAAGATCTTGACTATACTTCTGAAAAAGCTTTGAATCAGCAACCAATACAATGATACTGTAAGAGTGATTTTAAGTTTAGGCAAGAAGTAACAGTGATGCACAGTGATTGTGCTAATAAGGGTTTAACTGTTGTCCAAGTCAGCCAAAGGCTGCAGATCTAAGCTGTTCCCAAGCACAGACAAGCCTATGGATCTCTCAGTGATCAAAAGCGTATGTGATCTCTCCATATGCTACAAAACATGTCTTTTCCTTCTTCTTCTGCCCTCACAGTTTACATAAAACATACCAAAATATAAACCCATGCTTAAATCAGGAAGGCGTTCTATGGCCTCGACTATTTTCAGATATATTGTGAATGCATCAATCCCAGCTGGTGGCAGCTGCAGGTAACAAACAGCTTCAAAAATTAAGGCACCAAACCAAGATCAGAAAAAAAATACATTTTGGAAGATTTTAAGCCTCGTGTTCTTTAAGGCAACCCAAAGTATAAGTGTATGAAACACCTCGTTATAAAAGTGTCATACATCATGTTACTTAGAGGTGTACGTGTGTGCATGCATATACACACAGCCTATTTTAAATTTGTGGAATTTCTTCCAGCTGTGGAAAATTATATGAAAGAATCTGGACAGCAATGGCTATGAGGAGAGGGAATGGAAGCAGAACCTACTGCCATCAGCAATTGACTGAATCATGGCAAACACTGAACTTTTACCCCTGCTGCAGCTATTAGGGAGTTGCCTTTTAGGAAGGTTTCAGATAAATGTGCAATGTCAGCTCACATCAACTGCAGATACACAGCTCTCAGACCAGACATACAGGTTAAGCAAAACAGGGCATCAGCCATCTGGGTGAATGACATGGTATAAACAACCTCTGGATGAATCATCCCACCTTTCCCCAAAAACAGCATACCTGACTTCTAGATTGGATTAACAGATAAAAGCACCTCCGGAGCTCACTTCCTGGCTATTTAGAGTTTCTCTAACTGCACAGCCCTGGTTCAACAAGAATGGAAAAGGAGGACAACTTCACTGATATTTAACATAAATCTTTATTTGCACCTAGCATATAAAAAAGCAAACCCCTCATCTCTCAGCACCACACCAAGTGTGCTTCTTCCCTATATCCCATGCACTGACACACAGCTACTGATTTATCTACTAATATTTACCTTCCACATAAAGCACAGCTGATCTACTGCTGAAAGCCACGAAGTAAACAGACAACTAGGCAGCAAGTTTAATGATCTTGTATGATATTCACAACTCTTAACTCTACCAGGAAGATTTCTAGCTACAAACCTGAACCAAATTATGTATCAGAAATCAACTCTAGCAGACAGTTACAATCAGCATGCTAGGGTAAAAACCTGACCACTATATCAAGTTCTAATAACAGCCATCCTAAGAGCTTAACAGGTGATAAGCTGGAGTCTTTGCAAACCAAAGAATCGTTACAGAAAACCTGTTTAAACAGAGAGTTTCATGAAAGGATGACAATGACATCTAGGTATTTTAAAACACTACTTCCTCCCCCTCCATCTTTCCCATGTATTGATTACAGTGCTCAACTGTACGGGAGAAATAAATGCACTGAATGGAATAACCAAGAATCTCTCCCTGTTGCAGTTTAACCTCCTTTACCCAGATTCAGTAATATTACTGTTACACAGGTGACAGCAACCCCCTATAAAAATGAATTTTTTTATTCAGTGAGTAGGCACAGATTGAGTAGAACAGATAGTAGAGACATTGTGGCGTTATTGGAAGATATCACAACACAACGTTTGAAAAAGGTGAAAGGAAATTTTTTTCTAAGGGATAAGAAAGCAGAATGGAATAAATCATGGCAGTACTTCCAGTAGACTAGGACAGACAAGTTATGAGAACACAGCTAAACCACATAAAGACACATGTTCATATACTAAAATATATCACATGGAACAGTTAAATTCCCAACCTGTGCTAACTTATAAAATGGGTCTCTAGAGTGCCAAGTCTGTCAAAGACAGAACATTACATGTATTTATTTTCCTGAAAACAGCTGATTACTCTAATCAAGGCATGGGAAAACAGACATGGAGGCAGTAATTTTTAAGGTATACAGATGCTATTAACACCTTCTGCAACATTCAAAGGCATTCTAATTGTAGCTATCAATGAAGGTTCTTACCTACACTGATATTTTAATATATTACATATCCTGTTTAAAATTTTATTATGATTTACACATGTGAAGACAAACCAACATTATTCTGATCACTGATCTTGCTATAATTTTCTACCATTCATTTTAGTCCTTATCATCACAAACATCTATGCTTCCACAAGAAATATCCCCTTACAGTCCATACTGAAAGCACAACAAAGAGTGTAACTCTAGAGGTTTTAGATGTGTAGATTAACTTCACTTACTTATTGCAATTTTACATCTTAACACAATATCTAATTCTACACTGGGATCTTAAAAATTCTACCAATACCTGACCACATACAGAGAAAAGGAAAATATATTATTTAATATGTATGCAATAATAAAAAAGGAAAAAGCGTGGCCCTTCATCTTTCATCTCCTTTAACCAAGAATCCATTTAACAAGCAGAAAACTTTTCTGAAATGAAGAAATAAATTGAGCTGATAGTTTTTCTTAAAACTTATTATTCTAATTTATTTTTTGCCCATCACAAATTTATTTTCTGTTAAAAGTACATACCACAGTCTGAAGGCATTGGTGCTGCAGCAACAGAAAAAGTAACAGATGTTTCAGAGTTTGGGAATAAGAACTGTTCTCTTTCAATGAGGGAATCTCCTTCTAAGGAAGGTTCTGGGAGATCCTCTATGGTCATCTTCTAGAAAGACACTTTAGGAGGGAAAAAAATTAATAAATAACCTCATTAGCAATACTTTAGATTGGTTCTATCATAGTAAGATATAATGCATAATCAGACTAAAATCTTTCCTTTTTCCAAACACAAACTATTCCTACCATTACATTCTTACAAACTAATAAAGTCAATTAGTAAATCTAGTAGAGTACGGTGTCAAGGTCAGCCAACTTTTGGTTTTGACTTCCATCCCTAACTTTGCACATTATTAATGGAAAGCATCACGTTTCTCCCCAGTCTTCCAACTGAGGAGTAAAGAAAATAACGCTACAATATAATCAGCAAACACACAATGATGATAAATGGATGAGTGTATTTCACAGCTTTATGAAAACATGGACATTAAGTACCTGTCCTCACACTCTGCATGCATAGTCCCTTCCTTCACCATGAGCAAGAACATGCTACCATCTACTGTTTTCTCCTCTTCTAAAATTCTCAGCTCTTTAATCTTCCCACACACAGCTGGAGACAATTCATCACCACGAGATTCACTCCTGGACTCACGATTCCATATCAGCTCCTTTCCCAGCTTCTCCCCTTGATGTTTTAAAATAGCACACTTACCACAGTGTTGTAACCTCCACCCTGGTGTTGTTTCCAGTCAACTTTTCCGGCCTTACAGCAATCTAGGAGAGAGAATAAATACTAAAGGGCCATACAAAGTTATAGCGACACAATTTAACAACCAGCCCGAGTTACATTCTAATTATGGCTCTCAGGATAAGATCAGAGGAGAGCTGATCACCATTTGCAAGACATTTTATCAGGCAAATTCATTAAGAAATAACAAAACATTATTCTTAATAAAACCAGGCATTACTGCACTATTGGAGACTACATCTCACAGCCGAAAAACTGCAATTCTGCATCTTGAATTATCATTATTAAACACTCAGGGTAGAAGCAATGCTTCTACTAAACAAACTACATTTTTATTCTGGAGATTGCTATACAGTGTTCTTTTTTCAGTTAATTTGCTTGACAGAAGGAACTCATGGAGCTTCAAGGAATGTTTGTTTTTACTACATTTAATCTACACATAAGTAAATAGGAAAAATTAGAAAGAAAAGAAGTAGTCTCTCTTTGAGACCTATTTTGGGTTTTGCATCTAACACACAACAAGCTATATGAACACATTTACTCTAATATTTCCCCAGATTAATATGTCACTATTTGGGAACCTCACATAATCTACATACTAATACAAAAGGCATTTTAGCAGTGGTTTACAGATGCTGATCCTGAAGTAAATAACTTAAAACCTCCTTTTCTTGCACACTATACACAGCTCACCCTTTCCTCAAGTTGAAAAAAGAGATCCACATTAAAACTGTTCATTTTTCTCCAACTAGTTTATTTCCTTAGTCTTATGCAGCTGTACAAATCACATGCTGGCACAAAGGGAAGATCAAGGAGGAGGCCACTGGGAAGGACAGGACTATTTTTTCCCACAGCATTATCAAATTACAATGGCTTATGTGTTCTTTCATCTAACAAGGCCCAAAATATCACTAATTATTTCAATTAAAAATATCACTACTTATTTCAATTATCATTTTCTTACAGTAAGGAAAAGTTTAGAGTTTATATTTCAAAGGCTTTATAGCCATCATAAACGTGACAGCAACAGCTTTCTTGTATGAGGGACTAGAAAGTCTTTTAAGCTGCAAGTCACTAATTAAATTTCTTTCGAAGGGCAACAATGAAATTAATCTGCTACCATCTGATATTTGTTCAGAGGCTATGGAAAAACAAAACAAAGCTTTGTAAAACACATGAATCCATAAGAGTTTTTCCACAGGTAGCACATCAGACGCTCTCACAAAATGCACAAAGGAACAAGTAAGATGCGTGAGTACAGAAGAGGTATTAGTTGAACCTATTAAGCTGGAAAAAGACACAAAAGAAATTATAAGCCTTTTGCACAGTGCTACCAGCACAACACTAAGGAAACAAAAGAAACATAATGAAAAGTAGTCAGACCCAGTTGAGCAGATGGTGACAGGAAGAGGTGAGGTTCGTCAAGTATGATGACATAAGTTGCTGGAACTAGAAATCAACAAACATTTGAAAATTAATACAGAAAAGACTGTTCGCTGCACACAGGAAAGCAGACCAAACAGAACAGAACCTGTTCAAGTATCCAGGGAATCTTTTACTCTCAGGGGCCATAGGCGAGAACACAATCTGTCACACAAGTGAAAGGAATTGAGCACTCAAACTGCCAAAGCAAAGCAGGCAGGGAAACAACCTGTGTTGTCAGGTAGGTGACACGGAGACCCAAGTGCTACAGTGCATATGCTGACCCAACTCCACACAGAACAGCTTCACGTTTCCACAGTAGTACCAACAACCCCCACCCAAATGTGCACATCCTCACACCCCATGGGATTTCAATTTGGTTCCAGAAATGCATTATCATGTCATGACACAGTACTGAACCAACAATGTCAAGGCAACATGTTCTGCATCCATGACCACTCCAGAGACTGCTACCTCAGGTGTAAGAATATCACACCTAGTTAACACCACACATGGACACCTGGAAAAGCAAAGGGAAAGCGAAGGGTTGGAAACTATTTCAAAGAAATGGAAAAGGCAAACAGACACTGTCCTCATAATGACTTCTGCTGTAAGCAAAAACACAACTGCATGAGGTATTAACAAAATCCAAGACATACAGATTCAGGTGAGAAGTCCTGGTGAAGTGGAATGGAAGGTATTCCAAAAAGAGCAACGATTTTCCTATATTAGTAAGGAGAGTTTAGAGAGACAGAAACTATTAGAAAGATCCAATAAAAGACAGAATTATTCTGTTCACAGAATTGCCAAACTACCACGAAGCACAGTTTAGCACAGCAGAGAAAGTATCATACTTACTATTTGCCAGCCATACGTTCTTCCAACTGAATTATATCTGAAAATGAAAAAATAGAAATATCATTAAAAAAAACTTGAAGGAGCCATCAGATGCACATGCACTTTTGTAGACAAAATTGAAGAACAACTGCAAGTTTCCTGATATCCACACATTACACAGGAATGCATTATAGCAAATATATAGAAAAAAAAAAGTTGCATAATACAGGGTCCAACTTTTCCATGTACTCCAGAGCTTGTAATTTGAGATTTGTGTTAAAGCACAAAGCCTTCCTGCAAGCATTTATAAAGATCTGCAAACACTAAAGCACTTGAAGTGATAATATAGGGTCATGCTAGGGCTTTGATAGCTGAACCTGTCACAAATGTGATGCTATTTTTGACAACCACCACATATAATGGACTCCTTACCATGTACTTAGATGTGCTCAAGAAAAAACTTAAGTTCAGAGAACAAGTCTCTTGCACGTACACTACCTGCCTGCTTCACAACATTTACAGCACGAGTGGGAGACATGTTACATGTGTGCAGGTACACTCAGGACTGGTTTTTCAAGAGGTGTGTGGGGCCCTCTTGCAACACAGCAGTGTTTTCACAGAATCACAGAATTGTTAGGGTGGGAAGGGGGCCCTGGAGATCATCTAATCCAAGCCCCTGCCAAGGCAGGGTCACCTGGAGCAGGTGACACGGGAATGTGTCCAGGTGGGTTCTGAATGTCTCCAGAGAGGGAGATTCCACGACCTCCCTGAGCAGCCTGTCCCAGTGCTCTGCCACCCTCCACGTAAAGAAGTTCTTCCTCATGCTGAGGTGGAACTTCTTGTGTTTTAGTTTATGGCCATTGCTCCTGCACCTGTCACTGGGGACCACCAAAAAAAAGTCTGGCACCGTCCTCTCCGCACCTGCCTTTGAGGTATTTATATGCATTAATGAGTTCCCCCCTCGGTCTTCTCCAAACTAAGCAGGCCCAGCCGCCGCAGTCTCTCCTCACGAGAGAGATGCTCCAGTCCCCTAACCATCTCTGTGGCCCTCCGCCGCACCAGCGTTTTGACAAGCTGGAGGATTCAGGGCGCTCAGGTTCTGCAGCTCTCCAGGCCGGCTCTGCTCGCTCGGACTCCCCCGTCACCTCCCCCAGCGGCGGGCACGCACCGCTCACCAAACGGGGGGGTCTCGCAACGAATCCCAGGGGCCGGGGGGCTTCCAGTTGAAAACTCCCCGGGGCCGCAGCACCCCCGGCCGCGCTCACGCAGCGGGCGGGCCGGGGGGGGGGGGCCAGGCGCCGCGGCCCGCCCGCCGGCGCCCTGCGGCCGCCCCCGCCCCACTGCGCGCCGAGGGAGGGCGGGAAGCAACGCGGGGAAGCACCGGGGAAGCACGGTGGAGCCCCACAAGGCGCCGCGCCTCCGTCCCCTCTCGCCAGCCCTACCTTGCTCTCGGCCGAGCGCGCGGGCGCTGCCGGGGCCTCCTGCGCACCGCAGCCCAGGGAGCCGAGCGCGGCCGCGGGCACCGCCACCGCGCGGGGGAACACGCCCTTTTCCACCTCCTCGGCCAATCGGCCGCCAGGACCGGCCCGCATCGCCCCACCCTTCCTCTCGGCACGCCCCGCGCTGGGCGGCGGGGCGGGAGCGGCAGCGCGGGGCAGGTGCGGGATCGGGCGGCGCTGGAGTGGGATGCGCTTCCTGCCCCTGCCCTGCCCTGCCCTGCCCTGCCCTGCCCGGGGGAAACAGGGATGCGGCAGCGAGGAGAGACAGCGCCCTTCCCGCCGCGCCGTGTCAGCGCACTCCCCGCCGCGCCAAGGCACGAGGGCCAAAGTGGCACGTTTCAGCACACAGCTCAGGAATTCGGACTCCCCAGTTATTCCATTAACCAGTTGGAGGGACGAAAGGAGCAGCTCCCCGAGAAAGCTTTTCAAAGCGTGCTTATCCCGTGCTGTGAAACCTAATAAGGATCTAAATCCAAAGATCGGTAATCTCCGGGAAACCCGTGCAGTGGTAAACCCATCTTCATACCACTTGAGCCCAGGCTGCTTGAGGGGAGTTTGACCTGGATAAAAGCTCAGCCGAGTCCTGCTGTATTTTTATGCTCAACGTGGGTCACTATTAAGTAAATATAACTGGTGTTTACAATCTGGTTTTTGTTGTTGTTTTCCCAATGATAAAGGGAGGGGGAGAGGACAAATAATAGTAATGACAAATGGAAATTACCTCAAGTGAACTACTCAAAAGGTCAAGAGTTGCAAGCTCTCTCAGATCCCAGACACTAGAAGAAGGTGAGCATGAAATCGCATTTGTGAGAGTAAACGTGGCACCAGATGGCTAGGAAAAAAAGGCTAAGACAATTCTTCCCCTTCTTAGAAATGTTCCATACTTCTGAAAAGGCAGAGAAAAAATTGTATTCCAGGAAAATGGAGGCCTGCTATTTTCACCTCAAAAGTACTTAGGTTATACTCCAAACTCTTTTTCTAAAGACAAGGATGTAAACAAGATCAAATGTGAGCTTAGTACTGGCAGTTATGTTTGCGGTTTTTGAGATGCGTGATGCTCTGGGCAAAGGAAACGTTTTATTGCTGATTATGAATAATGGAATTTAGTGAAGTGCCTGAAATGGAAATTATTAGCAATTCTGGAGAAGGCTAGAATTTAGGACAACTTGAGTGGACGTAAAGCACAAGCACAGGGGAAACAGTGCTAGGTAGAGCTGAATGCAAAGTACTGAGCTGAGGAAGGTTACTGATGAGATCTTGGAATATTATTCTTGGAACTAATCTTTGTTTCATATTTTCCTTTAATGACTTTGGCAGTAAAAAACAGCAAACTGATGAGACAAAAAAAAAAAAAAAAGGAAAGAATTGCTGTTAAGAAGGAATGAACTGATAAGACTGATATATGGGATCATTGTATGGAAGTGAAAGATGCAGTTGTAGTCGACAGCTACACAATGAGCATCATTACGGATATGATGCAGTGGCACAAAACCCAAACATTTATCTTAGGACATGCAACTGGAGAGTTGTGTCAGGGAAGTGTTTGTGCCAGCAGGCCCTACCACCTCCTTGAGAAATCGCGTGCGGCTGTGACCACCCTTCTTCAGTGAGTGGCAGCCAATCTAGTGTGTCTAGAGATGATTTGTTAGCACAGTCAAGGAAAAGAACAACCTATTTTAGGAGGTTACCAGAGCATGGCTTGTTTAATGCAGCAGAATGAAAGCTGAGACAGAGGATATAGTTGCCATCTGCCATAAACCACAGAAAATGGGGTGTGAATTTAAAGGTAGTGTTGAATATGAGGACAAAACTCTGTGTGAATATTTTGATGCTAGAAAATTAAAGCAAGGACCTAACAAAGCATCTCAGGCTCTTGACCACCTTTCTGATTGGACCAGTAAAGCAGAACCCCAAACATTTTAGCTCAGAGTGAGTCCTGTGACTTAGTGCTGCAATTGGAAAAGAGACATCATTGCCTGACAAAACCCCTGCCTGTCTTGATTTCCACCCCTGGGCCCTGCAATGGAAATAAAAAAAAATATTTAAATCTCATTCTGTACCTTAGCACAATATGTTTTTCAGCCACACTTACATGCCAGGATATGAGTAAAAATAAAAGTCAATTCAGTCTATCCTGTCTGACTCATTTGGTCCTGCCATGGGCAGCAAAGTTGCTGAGCACCTGGAGAACTCAAAACAATGGGCTGTGCTAGCTCTGACCACCTCAGGAGGAAGATGAGGAAACAATGCTTGTGAGCAACAAGCCTATTTTAACTAAAATATTATTTCTTTTCTGGTTTCTCCTTTGGGCAGAAATAGGGCATTACTAGCCCGTTCCTTCATCTTCACAAATGTACATGTCTGAGGAAAGCAATCATTTAAATGGCTTAGAAAGACATTGCAGCTTCAGGTAGAGCCACTGTAGAGCAAGGATTAGGGCAGCAGAGAGGTTCTGACAGTGAGCACACTTACATACCAGGTTCAGTGCAGCTACAGGACAGCAGGCATGTTCAAAAACAGTGGATACTCCAGGGGATAGCCCCAGAGCTGGGTGTGAAACAAGGAAGCTGTGTATGCACTTGCTTCTCTCCTACAGAAAAGGTCACTGTCAGCCTTTCCAGCCCTTCAAGCCTATCCCATTATTTCCCGGGGGACATGTCACCCTTCCTCCTTCTAGACATCAGCCAGCACCCCACTCTGTAAATTGCCCTTTTCTGCTCCTGCTGGGTGGGCCAAGTCCCATCTCCTCAAGTCGCATCCACTGCTTCTGGACCCACAGCCCCGAGCCTAGCACTTCATCAAGAGCCACTCTCCTTAGTGCCCAGGTGGTGAAAGGAGATCATCTTCTCTCCGGAGTAAATGTCTGCTCCACACACACGTGCATCAGGATCACGCCAGGATGGGTGTCCCAGAACTCCCCGCTGCCAGGCAACAGTTGCCATGCTCCAGGCTGCCTGTGGGTTTGAGGTGGTTTCACACAGCTATCAGTGCACACACTGTGGTTTGAGACACTCTGTGAAAGGAAGGCAGGAGGAATTCTGTGTTTTATCTCATTTTCCAGGGAGACCCTGAGATGCTTTAGGTGAGGGAACCCATTGGGAACTGAAAAAGGCATAAAGTTCAAGAGCTGCATCTTGTCTGGAGCATCTTGGGATGTTTTTCAGGAATACAAATTACCTGGGCCTCACTTCAAGATCCCAAATCAACACTACCACTTTCCACTAGAAATGACAGAAGCCACTGCCTGCCTGTTAAATTGCTAGTCCCTCACCTGAAAGGAACTTGCTTTCCTTGAAATTGCTCCACAACCACAAACCTGCTTTCACTCGTGTGAACCGCTGTAACTGCTGCCTAGGCTAGTGGGACCCTTCCATTTTAATTTTCTAGATTTGCATAAGCCTGGAAATCTATACTTAAAATTTTAGGCTTTTCCACACAATTCTTGGTCCTAACTGTCATCTTTTGGGAGTCACTGTCTTAACCACTGACAACAGCAGTGAATGTGTTAGTTATGGCAGATAGCAAGCTTTTAATACCCATGGGTAGTTTAACAAAGAGAAACCATGA